AGCTAATGTCTTCAGATACATGCTAGGAGGGGTTTAGTAAATCCTTTCCCAACTTTTACTACCTTCAGGAATATATGTATAGCTTCTTGAAGCTTATGCTATACTATAGAAACGAACCCTGACTAAACCGTGCATTTAAATATGGGCACATTTCACAGACTAACCAGTATGCCAGAGCTAAACATTGTTGCTAAAACTTTGCTGTCTAGCATAAACTATACAAAGACTGTCAATCTAACAGGAGGGAAAAAATAGGTAGGAACTGTAACTTATTTTACGTCCAGATTCTATTTTCTCAGAATAGATGCCATTGAGCCCTAGAGCATTTCTATAAACAGTGTTAAAATCAAGGTGTCCAACGCAATGCTGTGTTTACTAAGCAGGTGAACAAGTTAGTTATTTCAGTATGAGCTTTTCCTTACTTAAGAAAATAAAGCTGGGACAGCATAATGCAGATTCCTATTAATCCATAATAAAAAAATAACCTAAAATGTTCTCACTACAAATTTTGCTTCCTAATTCAAAAAGTGTGAAACAGCACTAACACTTCCTAAAAGTGGGCATATCTACAAGGCATACATATCTGCTAACTGTCACCGAGCATTTCTGAAGTTTAAGATGATACTACTTTTAATATATTAACTTCACTGGAAAGCTTTCAAACAGGGTTAAAATTGTATCTACCTGATAGCACATGTTGTAAAAAGCAAATGAGAAAAGTTTACAGAGACAAAGTGTTTCTAATATAAAAAGTGACCTTTTTTCTTTACATTCCATACTATGAAACACCACCAAGCACAGTAAGGTCACACTTCACTTCAAAAGCGTGCTCTTTTGACCGGTGTTATCAAAAATCAACCTCTTTATAACTCCATTGCTGATAGTATGAATGTTCAGAAGATGCTATTTGCATTACGAAAATCCTGCTTAAGAGAACTTCATAACTATAGAGCAATTCATTGCATCGAAGCAATCCGATTACTGTGAAAGGACATATCACGAGGTAGATTTTTAATGTTAGTGCATATCAACAGGCAATATTCCATTAAAGAACAGGAACACTGAAATACAATAAATTCAACTTTATCTGCTACAAAAGACAAACCTCTATTGCTTATCATCTGCAAGACCTTTAAAGTTTCTCAAAAGGACTTCTTCCACATACTTTAGACTCCAGCTCATTGTGAGTATGGCATGTTACAGTTCAGTAGGGACTGGGGAAAGTGCAGAATGCATTTGTGGGCAGAGCATTTGGTTTCCCGGTTACCCCTGCTTCCTTCCTTCATTGTATTTATATCCTTCCAAGGAACTGAAGACAGCTTACATCATTCTCCTTTCAATCTTATCCTCACAACATCAACCCTGTGAGGTAGGTTGGGCTGAGAGTCTGCAACCAGTAAGGTCCATGGCTAAGTGGGACTCAAACCTGTATTTCCTGAGTCCCAGTGCTGCACACTTAACCACTACACTGTACTGCCTCTCCTTTTAAAAGGGGGAAAATTCCTAGTTGCTGTGATTGCAAAGCTGCAATCAAAAGTGAAGTCAGCAGCCGAAGTTACAGAAGCCATAGAAGTGGCTGTCTTTTAATTTCCCTTAGGGATGGGTATTCATGCCCTGTGCCTTCCAAAGGCTAACAGAAACCATGAGAACATCTGAAAGTGTGTCATTCGACTGATCCATCTAGCACAGCTGATCGGCAGCGGCAGCAGCCCAAGTCTCAGGCAGGGGATCTTTCTCAGCACTTGCACTTTAACTGCACAGTATGCAGTTCTACGAATGATTTCTGATGCTCCCTGAACAAGCCTTATGCATAGTTAGAAACTGTGCAAAGCTGATCGATTTAAAAATATCTCTGAGAGAGAGAAGCAAGTGCATGAGTGCAGTATACAATTTACTGCTTTAGAACTATTTCAGAGAAGGAGTTTGGTTGCCAGGTGCTTCCGAGTAGGATAATGTTCTCATATTGAAATACATTTGTGAAACAAAAAGACTCCAAAGAATCCAGCAACCCGAAACTGTGGACTTGGATGTGATTGAACCTAATCCAGGAGATTGGGATCTCATTTTTCAAACCATAATAAGCCTTAAGACAATGTACTGAAATTCACATTGCTCCTGAGTCAGGGAAAGGACTATGCTTCCCCAGCTGTACATTGTATTCAGAGCCCTAAAGGCATCCTCTTCCTCTGAGCTAGATACAAAATAGCACCAACTTTTTTAGACCACATTCTCATCAACACAATTGCCAAATAACCAGGTTTTGCAAATTCGGCATTCACCAACTCTCTTCGACTTCACATGTTCAAAATACACTTTTTCAATTCAGCAAAGCCAGTGAACTAAGATTGCCATCAGTAGCAAGGCACACCAGTACTTCAGAAAAGCATTGCTCTTTACAATCATGATCCTGGCAAAACAAGACTTCATATCACCTTATGAAATACATAACCAAATCTATAACCAAAATGGTGTGTATAAGAAAAGTATCAGCAGACAATTATGAGCAAAGGAAACTGCCTTATACCTGGTCACTCCATTTGCCTGGTGAACTCAGTTCTTAAGCCTTCCTTAATGTGCTTCTTCAAAAGTGTTAGACTATGAGTCCCATTAGTCTCAACTCAATAGCCATAGTGGCTTGAAAATGATGGAAGCTGCAGAGTCCAACACATTTGGGAAAGGTCGGTCATTTCCAACTGGTAGGCCCTCGAGTAGAGGGCTTTTCACCCAGTTATCCTTTTAAATTAAGGATAACGGGTATTCAACCTGGGGCTTGCAGCATACAAACCATGTGAGTGAGAACTGAGCTATGGCCCATCCCCCTTAGATACAGCAGAAATGTGTTTGGAAATATTCACTTTAGATTGTAAACAGGAGAAAAGTATGTATGTCCTATTTTATAGGCATGTAGTCATGCTGATATGATCAAAATGGTTATCACCCTAAGTATATATTGGGAAGGGGAGATTTTGAATCCCATCTCTTCCCTCCACAAAAGTGGCTTGGTGTGTTCTGTCCTGTTCATGTCAGCTTTTTCTGTAACTCAGAGTAAAACCTTTACATGCACATAAAGCTATGGATTTTAACTACTGGGCAGCCTTTTACCAGCAGTTAAAGTGTTGTGACAATTTCCCTTTCCACACTTGTATTGTTTAAAGCGGAATCTAACCAACCATCCAGTGCATTACTTTTCTATAGCTTTAGAATGTGGGGGTTTTATAGATCTACATCAAAGTTAAACAAGAACACCAACACCAAGTGCTGATGTTCCTAAATATAGGTCTTTAAAAGAAAGGTATCCTTTGCAGTTTGAGTGCACACGTCTACCAAATGCCATAAAATGTAGCTCTACACAACTGGGAAAATTTAAAGGTTTAAAACAGAAAACAGAAACAAGCAGAAACTGTTATTTCCCAAATAGGGAATGACAGCAAAGCACTGAACTGTTCCAATCCAGAAAGAAGAGGGGTTGTTTTTTTCAGAACCACAAGCTTTCTGTAGCACAAATGGTAGGTCCAAATGGTGTAATGGAATAAGTAGAAATGCAGCCGCCCCATATACTGGTCACAGTAATACATGTGGAAATAACCTGTGCACCAAACCTGGATCACCTTTGCTGGAATTACCAGAAAATGCATGCTTCCAAGGAATTTCTTCTCCACTCCATGCTCCTTCCTGCCACAGCATGAAAGTGAGTTCAGTTTGAAAGATGAGTTTATGTTTTATAAAGATGATACAAGATTCCTACCAAACTTTAGGTTGCCAGATTCTTAGCCCTCTGATTCATCACTCTCTCCCATCCTATTTAGAAGGCAGTATTTCTTGCAGAAGACAGAACACCTAACAGTGACAGGAATCCAGCATGGAGGGGAAGGGGTAGGATGTGGAACATTTAGCCACTTGGTGCTGAAAAAGGCCTCAGAGAAGCCACTCAGCAGTTGGGCTGCTTTTCCTCTTCAGGCTGAACAGTCCTTGAGACCTACAAGCCTAGCAGCCAATAAGCAGGCTTATGCTTTATTTGTAGTTTTCTGGATTGTGGCCATTATTTTGTTTGAAATGCCTCTGGGGAAAAACAGAAAAACCCAGACATGGATAATCACATCCTAAATGTTTTAATGAAATAAAAATGAGAAGTTTTAAAAAGTAATCCAAGCATTTGAAAAATAGGACAAAGGATTAAAATTACAGTAACATCAAGTAGGTCTTTGCACATAAGAAGTACAAATTTGGTTTCATCTTAGGAGGCAATGCAACCAAATTACCTGGGCACACTTAACTAGTCTCAAGTTATTCCATCCAGTGAAGTGGTTCACATGATCACTGCAGGTTAAACCAGTCACAATAGCTTGTTTAAGCTGCAGCACATGGTTGGTGAATTGAGGGTCATTTCCCTTCCAGCAAGTCACGCTGCCCAGTTTCAAACAACACAAAGTGTGCACCAGACAGAAGATTAGACAAACGGCACCTGGCATACACCATGGCTTGTTTAACCCATGATTATCATGTGAACCAGTCCACTGTCTATAACACATGTGCTTTGCTTTTCATTACATACAAATACACTCCCTGCCATACATTTATATAAGGATCACAGGCTTTAGGATTCTCTTTTTGTTTATTTATTTAAAATGTTTTTATCCCATCCTTCCCTTTCAAACATCTCAGGACAGTTTAGATAACTGCCTAACAATTTCTTCAGCCTTGCCATTAAGACAGACATCTAGATTGTGGAATTGTCCAGGTCAATGATAGAGTGACCAGGCTTTACCGCACAAGAGTTGTTGGTATTGTCTGACATTTCAGACTGTATCTGATTTGAGTTACATACATATCAGAGAAGCAGAACCTGGGGCTTTTTGTATGTATACCAACTGCCATGCACGCTCCTCGAGAGTGGGCTGTGGCCTCTACTCACATAAGGCACGGACTCCAGGAAGTAGCATCTTCATGTGGGAGTGACACACAGCAACTGCTCTGAGAGCCAATCAAAGTTTTGTCAGAACAGTGTTTGCAAACATAGTTTATTAGCCAAATATCATACAAGTGAACACTTCTCAATATAGTCTCCCAGCAAAATTACACTTTTTCACCACTGATCTTACAAATTTATATCCCACCCTTCTAATTAAAACAAGCTACAGCAGTAAATTGCAATTAAAACCAACGTTTCCATTCCAAATAGCCTTCCTTGTAAACATCACTTTTTGGTCTATCAACCGTGTCACGTAACTTTTCAGGGTTTCATCATTAGATGCCATAGAGATGAGCTTTTAATCTTACAGATAGTTAGAAAGCAGAGAACTATAATGGATGTAGCGAGCTTTTAAATCTTGGAGTGGTGGCTGTTTCAGTTGTCATTGCCCTTCTGCATTTGTTGCACTGCTGTGGAGTCGAAGACCACCACAATGGAGCATTTCCGATATGAAATTTCCATGCGACTTCTCCAAAAGTTTGCTGCAAAGGTCTCCTAGAACTGTAGTTTCTACCACCAAGTTCGTAAGTACTACATCCCAACTATCCCCCACCCCTGGTGAATGCAAAATATCACCTTTACAGATGACTTCAGGATGTTGAATGTCTTTGGTGGAAGTGGACCAACACGCACTCCTTGAAAGCTGTCCTGTTGCTTGGATCATAGTGACAGACCCCACATTTGTCCATAGCAATGGCTTTGCTGGAGATGTTATCTGGATCTTTTGAAGCATGTTTTAGAAGTTCCGAACAGAAGACTCAAAATACACGTTAGCATTCATATGAGCATTCAGGGAACCCAGTGAACTGAGACCTTATTTGTGTGCAGCTGTGCATGGAAAATTGAAATGAGTGCTCCACGACCAATTCTCAGCCTGCACTACACACTCAATGGAAATTCAGTGACCCTCCACTTTGGCTTTCCCAAGCCTGGCTCATCTTCAAAGTTCCTGTTGCCATGCCCACCGACTGGGTGAAATGGTAGTGCAGATTCACATAAACACATTCAACAAGAGGTATTAGTGAAATCCTATGGTATTTACACCTTGTTTTTTCAAGGACAAACCCCAAAAAATAAAAATACAACTTCTCAGTTTTATTTCATATACGTGTCTGGAATGGAAAAGCACAGCTAAAAGCTATTTTAATGTACATCTGCAGAAATATTTCTAAAAGATGTGCCAATACACTAGTAAAATGTGTTACTACTGCCACAGGAGAAAACTCATCTGAACAAAACTTTTTGAGGAATTCTCATATATAGCTGTTGGGCCGCATCTAACTTAGGCGCATACCTGCACTAGGTTCTCTCTCAGACAGAGTAGCGTAATTTCGTGGCTTGCAAGGCACAATAAGAGGCCCACTAGCCTTAGTCCGCTTGTCAATGGAAATAGTACTAAGCAACATTCATTACATTTAAAATGATTTTCTTCCACCCCAGAGGCTGTCACAGTGACCAGACCCACCAGTGGGCATCAGACACGTTTCTGCAGGAAGTCCCCTTCCACATGTCTCATGCAAATGACTGGGAGGCTCTGCCAAAGCTTGTGTGACACACAGCTTCCCTTCATTCTACTTGAGGCTCAGGAAGGAAAACTTCCTGCTGGATTGTAAACTTAGTGTTTGGGCACATACCTAGTGATCAAGCAATACTCCATTCTTATGTCCATTAACAGTACTGAAGAAGCTCCTTTACAAGACTCACTAGGGCAAGATGTTAAACTGTTCAGCTAAGAAGCCTTTCCTTGAGCAAACCAAGGAAGTTTATACTTCCAGTCTTTTATTCAGCAAGGGGGCAAGGGATCTGTGGTGTATAATTTTTAGGAATACCAGCCAAAAGATCGAACTATCGCAGAACAATACCAATAAGTAGAGACAGCATTTTGTTTAGTTGTTTGCAAAGAAATTACACGTTTGCTAGCTGTGTCTTATCTAGTATGCAAGTGAAGTGCTCCATCACGTATAAGAAAAAAACAGCAATACAGCAAAATCCAAAAGTCGAAGAGGCCAGGCCAAAGGGCTGAAGTCCAGCACTTTGAGGCAAAGAAGCACACGGGTTTTATCTGAGTGCTTGCTCTCCTCTGAAGCCCATTCAACATCTTGCACTAAGAGTCATGTGGAAAATCAAGGTTTACGAGTGCCATGGTGCTATATCCAAACGACATAGATGGAACCAGAAAGGTAGTCTGATACGTGAATTCAGAGTCACAACACACTCACTCACATAAAGGGAAGGAGTGAACTTGGGCCCATGTTTAAGTCCAGGGATCAGAGTAACTCTGTACTTGTCCAAATTTACAAGATTTCTTTTTTTAAAACACTCCAACTAAACTGAAGTAATTTAAAAACAAACATTGGGTTGTTCCTTCCAAGGCAAGAGGTGCCTAGAACTTTGGCTGATATAAAGAAACGCGACCACTAAGGCACCCGGAGGCAATCTGACAGTGCGTTGGAGAAAACTTGGTGGTCAGGACCACATCGGTGTGAGAGTAGAGTGAGCGAATCTCTTGCAGAGGGGCAGCTTCTTTGGGCAAGCAGTCCACCAGTTCACTGCACTTGGTGTCAAATCCCAACAAGCGAATCCCATAGCCATGTGGGGAGGCAATCATTCGGCCATCTGGACTGAAACAGAGTTCTTTGATATAGCCTCGGCCAACGTTGGCTTCCTCGATGCAATGAGTCAATCGGAGGGAGCAGCGAGGGGAAACCGACGGAACTGGGGCACCTTCTTGGAATTCATAGACACAAGTCCACTACAGCAAGGGGGGAAAAGTTACAATTAGAGCACACTGGTAGCTACTACTTCATCCCACGCGTGTGGGTCCTAGAATGGGGCTAGTTATAATTGCTGGATTACAGCAGGAATTTATTTAGTCCAGCATTCCGTAAGTGGCTATCCAGTGGCTTGTGGAACACTTACCAATAGGACACAAAGCCAATGACCTGCTGCTCTTCCCCTATAGCTAGAGTTCAGAAGAATACAGTGGCTCCGTTTTGCTATCATGGTCATTCAAAGACCTATCCTACACAATCTGAAGCCCACTTTTAAAGCCATCTAACCTAGTTACCACTGGCACATCTTGTGGTAATTTATTTCATTCATTAAACATGGGGTGAGGATTCTTTTTGTTTGTCCTGAATCCTTCTATGAATTGAAACAAAGTATGAAGATTGCTTTAAAGATAAAGGAGACAATGTAGCAGACACTAAACAAGTCACAGGCTTCTCCTTGTCATAAAATGTCCAAATGCTGCATCCATGACATGCATCCATGCACTGATCTTAAGCATGGCAAATGTTGCAGCGGAAAATTAGAGCTGGACACACAGTTGACAAGTTATGGTGGCTAGCGCAAATCCCACATTTCTAGGAATTTCTCAGCAAAACAGCAGTTCACTCCTGTTTCAGTAAGACATTTTAATAGCACAAGAGAACTCCAGTATATTTCAATCTGCTCAACATACATGTGCACCATTGCCAGCACCCATTTTACCTCCTGGTCATCAGTGTTACTTGAGCATCGAAGAAGAGTAGCCCAGCCTTTGGGATGGAGCTGCAGCGATGTAATGCAGTTTCCCCGATCCCTCTCTCCAGGAACCTCTGGGGTTAAAACCTCGAGACTATTGCGTGGAGATCCACCTAGGGAACGGAAAATATAAGTAACAGTCACCATTGTCTCTCACTTCCCAATGGAATGCATGAGCGAGTATAAAGTTGCTATGCTCATTTGCATTTGTAAATCAATTAAGAACGTAAGAAAAGTTATGCTGGATCAGACCAAAAGTCCAACTAGTCCAGTACTCTGCACACACAGTGGCAATTGCTCACTCTAACAGTTATCAAAAGGCAGCATGCACATATGAACTAGTCTCAGTGAAGAGTCATAATTTAATCTGAAGGCAGAAAGGGGCTTTTAGTTTCTGGGGTACCCCTGCTCATATAATCCATGTGTTTCAACTCTTGGTTTAACGCACCTTCTCGTTGGGTGGCTCGTACCGTATGTTTCTCAGACACTGGGTTTGATTCTCCCTGGTGACAAGGTGACCCAGCACTCCTAGGACTGGATGAGGTGGCAGACACCAGATCTGGAAAGAGGAGTGGAGTGCAAAGTAAAACCAAATATACCAAAACCACTTTGTTTGATCACTCTAATCCGTTAGCTTTACACTTGCAACTGTTCTCTGTGGAAATATGCTCATGTCAGAATTCAAAGACTTTAGTGGGGCTGGTGACTTTATTTAGGCACTTCTCTGGTGTCTGATAATAACCAAGTTGCTTATTTGTAAGGTTATTATACATCAACACAGTTATCTCTCCTAGCCCTGTACAGGCCCCATGAAATATGGGATATACATTTTTTAAACAATATAAACATTTTAAAGGAAATAATTCAAAAACTCTGTTCAAAGAAGTCCAAGTACTTTAAGAAGAGAGCAATAGTGGTGAAGCTTTATTACACCACTACCCACAATCCACTGCAATGGGTAGCCATGGGCATCAGGTCCAGAGATCTGATTCAGTTCATATATGAGATGATAGAAAGTCACAGCAGGAACTTTACATGATTGTGAGCATCCCAGGAATCCTCTGCAACATGAAAAAGCTCTTCAGGTTGGCTAATTCATTCAGTTAGGACAGCACCAAGCCCCAACCCTAGGTATCTTTTGCTAGACAAACAATACATATGGCAGAGATGTATTTCACAAAACACATGGACTCACCTGAATTGGATGTAGTTCTCCTGGCTCTTAAAATAGGATAGCTGACAACCTCTAAAGATTTGGTTAAGTCAAGGTCATGCAATATCAAGAGATACCCAGAAGATGTTGAGATCAACATTTTGGAACAGTCTGGGGTCAACCTCATGCGCATGAGAAAACGGGTGTGAAAGAACTTCTTGTGAGGGCAGCCATCTTCTGTGCACCTGGAGAAAGAGAGACATTTCAAATCACATCCACTGCCATCCTCTCTTTTAAAGAATTCCAGTCTCTTCCTTTTATTCTCCTCAATAAACAAGGAGATCCAGGATTTCTGGTTACCTAAGTCTCAGAATGGTTTTCAAGAGAACCTAGTTCCTTCAGTGCTATGAGATATACCAACATGAAATAGCTGCAACTGAGGAAACACATAATTTCCACAGGTTCTACTTAAGCTCTTTATTGTTTACAAATACAGTAACGCGTATTTTTTAAAATACTAATTCTTACCCTACTCTTTAAAGGTTGCATTTATCTTAAAACTGTGTAACGTTGAGTAAGAGGAAAGGCTGGGCTACTTCACATTTTGGCAATGGTAATGGACTACCTTGGGCAGATGACTCAGATGCAGAAGTAGTTTTAGCCTGGAAACAGCACTTTCTCTGGCTCTCAAACCCAGCCAAGAGAATCTGCTCCACAGCTTCTAAGCAGCGTCTCCATCACAAAGTGCATGGGAAAAGGGAAGAGACTCACTCTGGTCAAAGCTAGCCTACATGACTGTAAGTTCCAAGTAAAGAACAGTTGCAGACTGGCTCAACTTGCAAGACAAGGCCACTTGAGTAGCTAAGGTGGAGAGAAGTTTGCATCTCCATCCCTGGCTACACGAAATGCTTTGATGTAAATATCAGAAATGATCAAGCCGCAGAATGGCCTTTTCTACAATCCTCCCTCCAATCTCTACAAGGAAATCTGGACTATACTAAACTTGTACGTTGGGACAGTTTCAATATTGTACATTAATGACAATTCAATCACCACCTCCAGCCACCAGATTTGTTAAGTGTACAGAGTTCTAACTGCCATGCAGCTATCAGCATTTTGGTTCCTTTTCATACTCTGGAAGTTTAAAGGTTTGCTTCAGGTAGTCATGCTCAGAAGTAACTTGTGCACATTTCAGCATAGTTACTTGATTTTAATTGGGACATTTGGCTTATTGATAATGGTGGAGTCAAATGTTGACCTCCTCCGCCTCTTCTTCCTCTTCCTCCACACATCTATAGAGCACATCTGTCTTCTGCTGATGAACCAGGCCTGTGCAAACCCAAGTGACATAGTTACATGTCTTTATGCAATTAACAAGTCTGGAGATAAGACACAGATGAATAGGAATCTCTCCTTTCCAAAAAGTCTAGTCAAGAAAAGCATCAATGCCAAATTTGCTCACCTGTTAGTATCCCAAATGATAACATTTCCATCAAATCCAGATGTCACTAACAATCTTGTATTAGTATCATATTCAATATTCTTCACCCAGCTTGTATGGCCATGTAAAGTGCACACTTTTGAATCTAGCTTCCTCAGATCCCAAAGTGCTATGGTGGTATCGTCAGAGCAAGTTGCAAACATTCTGTTATCAAGAAACCTATAAATAAGATGGAAAGTGGGATAGGTTGTTTAATATTCTGAAATATATTCCAAATCTCCCTAACATTGGGTGCCAAAGAGCAGTACTGTGATGATACTGACAAATATGTACAGAGAGCTCCTAGGCAAGTATTTTCAAAACATCTTAAGAAGCATCCTATGTCCCTAGATAGCATCTGTGGGGCCATAGGATATTTCAGATTAATAGATCTGAGGCTCAAGGCATCACTCTGACCTCAGAAGGAGGAATTCAGAATCCATTGCTCCTCTTGCTGGTACAGAAAAAACTACAGCAATTATATCTCCGAGATCCGAAACACAATTTCAGAGAAGGGGGAAAGGGGCCATTTTGGAAAGCAGACTGAAAAGGCCAGGATATGAGCTATTCCTTCCCTCCCAGTCTGAAATGCTTTTTCTAGACTGGCAAAAAAGCTTGCCTGTTGAAAATACAGGGCACAAGGATGAGGTGCTGGATGGCTTCCACTGCTCATCCCACCCTGCATGGGATGAGCATAACTTCAGCGTTTGGGGCTTATGATGGCTTAAACACGACTGCACCCTGAACCGTGAAACAAAGTAGAGATGAACATTCAAAAGCTACTGGTTTAAGAAGTCTGAAGAAGTTTACAAGGTTATCAAAACTCATTCCTCTATTTAGTTTCAGAATTGCTTCAACACACACTGGCTATCAAGCTCCAAAAACTTCAACATTTTCAGTATAATTGCACATTGTGGAAGATGCTTAACTTCTCTCTGTCAAAGTCTGCTACTCCTCTGAGAAACTCTTCTGTGCAATAAACTTCTGTTTAGATATGGGCAAAAGGGTTTAAAGGAAGAATGTCTCTTCTAAAAAATAGAAAGATTACAACAGAGTCCACAGCACAGTAGGAACACAGAAAGCTCTCTCAGACGGAGTCTACTGAGTCTACTTACTCTGACTGGCAGTGGCTCCACGATTTCAAAAAGGAGTTTCCCCCTGCTCTCTCTGAAGATGGCAAATTCTGAACCTAGAACCTTTTGGCACACATAGCATTTGCTTTGCCACTGAACTACAGATCACTGTAGCTCTATCTAGGACAGTGAGTTAGATCTAGACTAACCAAACTGCACTTAGTCTGCTCTGAAATCAGCAGGACTAATTCATGACTAAATTTCACAACAAATTTATTGGAATACAAGTTTAGCCCACAAGCCTGGATCCAACCAAATGTTTAAATGGCAACTACATCAAGCAACGTGGATGGTGCTTTTGGAAACTGCTGGCTAAGTCATAAGCTTCAGTCATGTTAAAATTAGCTTTCCTTGCTTAGTGTCTGTGCATGAGATTTGGTTTTAGGGAAATAACTAACTAGCTGAGATGTGGAATCAAGGAACTATCAACCTATTAGATGACAAATCAGGAAAAATCTTATGAATAGCTTTTGCACCAGGGACAAGATGAATGGTGAAAGGATATACCTGACCTATAGTTTCTCCTGAAGTAGAGAGATTCCAATAATAGCCTCTAACCTCAAACTTAACTACAGCTATTCATGAAAAAGACTTGATCATTCAGTGTAAAAACAATAATAAATGATTCCCAAAGACTTTAAAATCAAAACCTGTACAATCATCTTAATGACAAAGAGATACATTGCTGGGACTTCAGATTAGTCATTCAATTTTACAGATGTTATCCACTGGAATTTTTTGAATTTGAGATTCAGTCTTCTTGATGAACACAATCCTGTTGCTCCGTAAGACAGAGGCTCATAAGCCTCTGAACTCGGGGACTTATGCATACCCAGTGCAAGGCACAAGTCACAGTGTAACTCCTCAGTTCCAGCCTCTTCTGTGACACTCCACCCTCCCCCCACCCCCAGGCCCAGTTGTGACAGCAGCAACCGTTGCAGCACACTGAGCGACAACCAGTGCAGCTCTTTCTGCAGTAGGTACATGGGGACACAATAGTGTCTCAGACTCTGAAAAATGCCATTGTCTCCCGGATGATGTTGGGAGGTTACCAGATTGCATCCTTAACACATGGAATCTAGTAAAGAAGGATTCTTTTGTTACTTCTTCTGAATCCACTCAAAGGACCTCCCTTGACACAAACTGCTGTTTTACTGGTAATTGCCAGTGTGGTGTAGTGGTAAGAGCATGGGACTGGGACTCAGACGATCTGGGTTCTAGTCCCCGCTCGGCCATGGAGCCAACTGGGTGACTTTGGGCCAGTCACAGACTCTCAGCCCAACCTACCTCACAGGGTTGTTGTTGTGGGGATAAGATGGAGGAGGAGATGTAAGCTGCCTTGAACCCTTTGAAGGAAAAAGGCAGGATATAAATCGCATAAATAAATAAATGTGATTGTTCTGGCCAAGATCAAATTTTAACAATATCATTTTCTACTTACTGTATATTTTAAATCACTATCAATTGTTTGCTATTTAGCTTTATTATTTGTAGCCATTACATTTTCTACCAATTGCTAATTTTCAAAAATTCTATATTTTGGTCAAATAAATGATTCCAATTTTGCACTTTTGTTGCTTTTTGATTAGATTCTTATTCATTGATCAAAACTATAATCTGCCTTGGCTTAATCCAAAGTGTTGTTTTTACCATTTAAAAACTAAACAGCTTGGAGCAAAACTACCTGAAGGAATGTCTTCTCCCTTATTTACCAAGTCACATATTAAGAACTCCAAGGTTCTACCCTACTACATGAGAGCCAGTGAGGTGTAGTAGGTGAGAGTGCAGGACTGGGACTCAGGCAATCTGAATTCCAATCCCTTTCCAGTCATGGAGCCAACTGGGTCACTTTGGGCCAGTCACAGACTCTCAGCTCAACATGTCTCACAGGGTTGTTGTTGTGGGGATAAGTTGGTAAGCTGCTTTGAGTTCTTTGTAAGAAAAAGGCAGGATATGAATCTAATAAATAAATCCCATTGTTAACATCTTTTTAAAAAATTACTAAAGCATTTGAGGGTGCATTCCTATGGCTTCCTAACTATGTCGAAAGAGCCACAGGACTAATTGAAGATGCAGCTCCAAGGTCCCGTGATTCTACAACTGGAACTCTGAATGCAAAGCTCCCAGTCCCCCTCAGTCAGTGCAGAAAGAACTATGCTCGCTGCCTCTCTGAGGAGGGAAATTAGCCACAGAGAGGGCTAACGGGGCGTGTCAGGTGGAGGGGTGGTGACGAAACTGGGACCAATGGCTTACACGTTATCTACTATCTAAAAAGTAGCCCAGGCTCCTTCCCTCTCTCCGAGGCTTCACTTGGACTGCCAAAAATGGCTGAATGAAATGCAGCCAAGTGCAAGGTGGCACAGAGCGTTCTGCTGCACTTGGCACCCCACACTGGATGTGCTCAGGGGTTTAAGTCCTGCAACAAAAGTCCAGGCAGGACTGTGCTGGATGCCAAACACCCTACTGTGAGCACAGCGTCAGCCTACACAATATAGCTGTATCCTATGCTAGTGTGAACAAGGGTACTGACATGGCAATATTACTACCGGTCTACTTGGGAGTGCCTAGTCATTCATTCATTGCATTTATATACCACCCCAATAGCCCAGAGGGCTCTCTGGGTGGTTTACAAACATTAAAACCCCACCAATCCTAAAATAAATAAATTGGCTACACCACGACTGAGTATAAAATAACATACTTGAAATGAAATAAATAAAGCATTAAAATTAACTTTAAAATATTGGTTAAATAAAAAGGTCTTGAAAAGCGTATAATGACGGCGCCAGGCAGACCTCTCTAGTCATTACTTGCAAGGTTGTATTCCATGGCGAGGGTGCTGAACTGCAGGCCTGTGGACCAAGTCTGGTTCAACTAAGGGCCAAATCTAGCCCTCTGAGGCTCCCCAGACAGCCATCCATTACTTCTCATTTAATCAACACTCTTCTATTATCATTTTATTCTACTAGAGAAGGATCCCAAAAAATTGAAAAAGCTCATTCCGGAGGTTTTGCCCAATTCTGCACAAACTGACTTCCTGTCACACAACAAGATTTTTTTTCCTCTCCTTTGCACCATCCCAACCCCTTCAGAGATTTAAGATATGTGAAGGGAGATGAAGGAGAAATCTGTTCTATCAGTGGGGTTTGTTCTGCTCAATAACATACACAGATATAATCTTGAATGCACTGGAATGATCAAGACTGTGCACTTTAAGACCTTGGTTCAAGTCTCGCCTTAGCTCAGACAAGCTACTTTGTCACAGCTGCCCATCCACCTCATCTACTATATAGTGATAATAGTACTGGCCTAACTTGAAACTTTCTTTAAATTACAGTGCTCAATAACAGGATTATGGAGATAAAAGCAAAATGCTTTGCACACTCAGGAAGCACTATGATGTTGAAGTATTAAATGTTGCATCTGAAAAACATGTACATATATATGCTAGAGAAACAGGAAAACATTTTACTTGTCTCCCTAAGTTATCTGAGGTGTAGAATGCAAGTTCTCTGTGCACAACCTTTCTGTTCTTAATTCAGACTTTCAACAGCCTACTTTCTTTTGTCTATGGTTGAATCTAGCTATTAATTCCCTCAGAGCAATACCGGTTCAATCTGATAATCTCTAGATTCTAAGACAAAGCCCACAGTACTTATGTGGCTTAAAGAGTATGACTGGAGAGTCATTATCACCAAGAATCTCTGCAGAAAGTGATACATGACATTAGAAGAAGCTCATTAGCAGTCATATACACATTCCCGGCTTCATGAAGAACGATCTCCAGAGGAGTATTTGTTCATTGCTGCAAGCAAAACAAAGAGCCTTATGGCCCTTTAAAGACTCCGGGCGTACAAAGATGCATAGCATTAGGGTATCTCTTGCACTTATTTACATCAAGATTATTTTAGGCTTAACTGTAATTAAGGGCATACTTTAAAGGCCAATGACACAAATGCTTAGCTGGTAATATATCTGTTAAATCTTTGAGATACCAAGTGACTCCAGGCTGGTTCCAGAGCGTCCTTTCTATGAATGAAAGTGGAAGGGACTGAGATCCAGCAGAAGCTTCAGCTGGAATGAGTGGGGGAGGCAATTTTTCTCTCTCCTTCTTCCCCTTTCAGTCCCAGCACCACTTCCTTCTCTGTTCCAGAGGATCAACCTGCTGGAATAACTTTTCAGGGAGCTGCAAAAAAGAAGAGGAGGAATCAGCCACAATCAGCTTCACCTCCATCTTCTCCAAGCAGGAGTATTGTGTGAGCCAAGTTCTTCTCACAGGAACTCTAAATCCAATCTTGTCCCGGTTTTGTTCACAGAAAGGTTCTTTCCAAACAGCCAAGATAATTGTTAGAAATTTGAAGGCAGGCTTTTTTTAATGAATGAGATTATGTTGCAGTCAGGATAAAAGGCATGCCATGCAATGATGTCCAGGTATTATAAGAGTATAGTACTTGTGATAACAGTGTGAATATCATCCAAGCTGTGTAAAAATGCAATTTAAACAATATAGAGGTGGCATTTCACACAAGTAAAGATCAGCTATATATTTACAAATGGAGAAGCCTCCAATTCTCAAGAGGCTGTACTCAGAAAGAAACTTTTACATCTATGTGGTAGAGTAGAGATATTTCAATTGACAAGAAGCATAACAGGACATATGGAAAACAGCAGAACTGGGACTAGTGTCCCTCTTTGCAGGAGAATGCAAGCATAAGGATTTACTAACATTCTTTTGGACTGTAGCACAATCACATCAGTCCAGAAATCTACAAGTGGACCATCAGCTGAAAGCTGGGAAAAGAGACTTTTGGACATTGCCTTTCTTGAAAAAGTGGTCAAAGAGTGATAATGCAATTTATAATCACACATAACTACCTGGAAAAGCTTAGATCTTAATATTTCCTAACTAAATCTAGACCAGAGAAGCCTCAAGTGGAAATTTTGCCCAACCATTTTTTCCTATGGTTTTATATGAGGGTCAATGCTGATGGGTAATTTCAAACTTTGTGTCAGTTCTGTTTCCATGTTGTTTTGTTTGCTGATGAAATCACACATCATAAAAGTATATGTGAAAAGGCCAGCTCTTTAGGTTCCATCACAAGCCAGCATGATACCAAGAAACCAAATTCAAGGATGGGTTAAGCAAAGTTGATGGGCTAGTTAAAGAGGAGCTGCCGCTGGTTTTTCGTTTTGGTCTTGATAAGTTCTGTAACATAGTAATTTGGATTCTGGCTTGGATTCAGGCAAAGAAAGTTAATACTTATCAATGACATGTATGTATGCATTAGTATTGGACTGGGGACTTAGGATATTTGGGCTCTAGTCCCCATTCTGCCATGGAGCTCACCAGGTCACTCACTCACTCTCATCCTAATCTACCTCACAAGGTTGTTGTGAGGAAGAAATGGAGAAGAGGAGAATCTTGTAGGCCACCTTGGGTTCCTTGCAGAAAGAAAAAGGTAGGGTATACATGCAATGTAATAGTAATAGGTTGAATATGCATGTCACTAGAGCTTCAACCTTATCTATCATGGATTTTAGAGCTGCACAATATAGATACTGGCATTCTAGATACATGTAACTTATTTTCATTTCCCAGCAGACTAACCTGATGTTATTTACACAGTCCTCATGAGCAGTAGAGAGAGTTTTTATGTGCTTTGAAGAGATGGGATCAAAAAGTAGGACTTCTGTCTGTTCACATGCAACTGTAAGCACTGACCTGAATCAGAAAGGAAAGAAAAGCAGGGTATTACACATCAAGAAAATCAATGCTCCAAAGACAGAAAAAGACATTTCCTTATTGAAAGTCACACTTATTCACTGAGCTGAAACATGAAGAATACTTTCAAAGAATAAGCTGCTTCACAGAATGTTCTGTAAAATTTCTGTTTACTGAATTTTCCTTAAAAAAAAAAAAGGTCAAATTAATTTTCTCATTTGCTTCACTGTAATGGGATAGCAACTGTTTTAGAGTAGTTTCTTGATATTCCAGCAGAAACAGCTCCACATTCACTACTATCAAAGGAACATTAAATAGGAAAGTACTTTCTTTTCCCCTCAAGGGGAATAGCAGTGAGAATAGGAGCTCTCTAGACAAGGGAAGACGTATGTATAAGCAAGGGGTGGACAGACTTCAGGCTTCTGCAATCGACTGTGTGTTTTACTAGAATCCCAAGATGCATCAGCCAGAGGTTGGTGCTAAAGACTTACAGTTAGATTTAAAGATTTCTAAGTCCAGAAATTTGTTCTGAGTACCAAAACTGAAAGCGTTCACAGTGTTTCCACACAATCCACTCCAAGTTTTTTCATTTCAGTAATATGATTTATTGAGCAGGGGAGTCATGTTTTGTTACTGCTCTGATAAATAACTGGGAATCAAAAATCCCTGCTGGTCTAATGCAAATCACCTAGAGATATCTCAGAAGATCCCAAGCTACTTTCTGCTTCAGGAGATTGCTCTATCAGTCAGCTGCGGCACTGTACAAAATCTGCATAAAGAAACTTAACACATTTCGTCCAAATGACACCCTGGCATTTATTTGGACAGTAGTTTATTTTCCATAAATACTTCCAACTTTACTTTTAGAGAAATCAGTAGATATTCACTTTCCCACTTTATTTAAGAAATTTTATTATATGGTCCCAGGCTGATAAAACTGAATATTCTCAGATCACACAATTCTTCCACTCTATATAACAATCATATACCATATATCTGGGACCCCAATCAATTAATCAAATATTAATAACAGAACACATTTTATGTGCATACTTTTAAGGAGCAGGGGGTTGGCTGGACTAACAGAAACCTTCTCTCCTGCTGATGAGAAGTAATAGTTTCATTCTGTTTTATAGCTTGAGTACTGTGTCCTATTACAGGTACTTTATTTTAAGGAGGACACTGAAAAAAAAGGGCGTGTTCAGAGGAGAGTGACCAGAGGGGTCTCCATGACAAAAAGAAATCCAATCCTATAAGGAACAGTTGAAAGAACTGAATATATTAAGCTTAAAGAAATGAAAATTAAGGGGGTGTGAGCATGATCATTCACTTTAAATGGCTGAAGGGTTGTCATGCAGAAGATGAAACAGATTGGGGCAGGACTGGAAATAATGATTGGCAATTGCAAGGACAGTGATATTTGGCTAACTTTAGGGCAGGGGTGGCAGCTTGTTGCCTTCATATGTATTTGCTTATAACTCCTATCAGCCATAGTTTGCTGAGCCAGTACTCAGAGATCATGTAAGTTATAGGTTAAAACAACTAGAAGGCGATAAGTTGCCCACTTCCACTTTAGGAGAAACTTTCTCATCATAACCTGTGGAACAGATTGCTTGAGAGAGGATGGGCTCTCCTTTGCTACAGGTATTTATGCAGAGGATGTCAGAAATGCTGTTGCTTTAGGAGAGGCATAGAAGTCTGTGGGCAAAGTAACAGACTGGATGAGTACAAAAGACTGTTCAGGCAAGCTGGAGGTACTGCTGGTAAGTGGCTTATCCACTGGAGTATTCACCCTCTACTTGAAGGGTATGCACTCCCCCTAAAGCTGGAGTATGCAACTTCCTGAAGTCTGGAGGGCCATTTTGACTCTCAGGTCCCCAGAGTGGGCTGTACTCCATCTAGGAAAAAACCCTGTAATTGCCAATTTGTAGCCAAAGTTCAATACCAAACCACATGATGCTACAGAAGACCACAATGGTTGTATTTAGGTTTTTTTCCTAAGCTAGATATAATCCTTTGACACTCCATAATGGCCATAGAGTGTCCATATAGCCACATTTTGACTTGGAATTGACATATTTCTTCTGATGTTGAGGGAGCAATGGGGCACCTGCAACCCACATGGGGCCCATCCTTACTCTAAGAGATGAAGTTTGCATTTAGAGATGCTTTTAGATCCAGCATTGTCCTTAAAGGTTCAAGTAGCTTCTGACATTTGGAACACTTTTTATCAGCTTCAGCTAATATATCAGCTGTGACTGTACTTCTACTGGGATAGCCTGGCCATAGTTATCCATGCTCCAGTAACCTTCTGTTCAGACTACAGCAATGAATTGTTTATGGGGGTGCCTTGAAAAATTATCTGGAAACTGCAGTTGATTCAAGACAGAGTTATAAGATTAAGTTAGATGATATTGCACCAGTGCTCTATCAACAACAGTGGCTCGCAGTCCATTGTCCAATCTCAAGGGCTGGTTTTAACCTATAAAAATGTAAATTCCATCTGAAAAATCACCTTCTCCTGTGATTGCTGACTTAAACGCTGAGATCATCTTCAGAGGCTCTTTCCATGATCCCCTACCATGATCCTCCACCAGAATTTTTTTGGTGGTGGCAGCAGCCCAGCCATAGAGTAACTTTCCCAGAGAAGTTCGCTTGGTGCCTTCTTTATGATCATTTTAATTTGCCCATGCCTTTTAAATAATTTGTGGGCTCTCACTGATTTAGTGTGTTTTTGTAACTGGAATTGCTAATTGTTTAATGGAGTCTCTTTTAGAAAGTAAGTTTTTTTATGTTGTATTAAATTATTGTAATTTTTTATCTATCAGTCATCCAGAGATTATTTGCTGATGGCCAGTCATATAAATTTAATAAATAAAATCAATGTTTTTTATTTTATTGCACTATCTTAGTATATCCTCTATCTATCTATCTCTCCACTCCTTACAGAGAAGTGAATGTCTAAACTGGATGATCCCTTGGTTAATGCTTAGAAAAGAAAAGACTGCATTTTTTAAAAAACCAAAACCACAGGGCAACACTGAAATGCAATATGGGGAATATTTATTCATTTTTATACAGCTTAATAGTAGGCGCTCTCTGGGTATTTTACAACAGCAGATAGACCTAGTCTGTATCTGATCCTGCCTAATCCTGGAAGCTAATTAGAGTCAGGCTGGGTTAAATCTGGATGGGTGACTTGAGTCCTGCTCTGAGCAAGCAGTTGGATTTGATGGCCTGCTAGGTCCCTTCCAATGGTATGATTCTGAGATTCCTATGATTCTATGACTTCTGACTGGTGGTAATGTCTTCATGCACCTTTAACTTGTGATGCCAAGATAAAATCTCCAAATATTCATTTAAATTCTAAATTCCTTAAAAGTTATGAATATGCCTCAATAACAAGCTATACTATCAAACAGCAGTAAAAGCACTGGTACAGTAAAAGTCATGTTTGTTATATGTGCAAAAACAGATTCCACTTTATTTGCCAGCTGTAAGTTATACATGAGATCAGAACACATGCTTTCATATAGCCCAAAATTCAGAACTACCTGGGACAGAAATTCTTGCTGTGAAAAAACTATCCAAGAACTCCCACCAAGGAGTATCAGACAATTATCCATCTTGGTTTCAAGCAGTCGGGAAGCCTTTTCTATAAGTAGATTTTTAATAACCTTGAAAAACAGCTACCAACTTTTTATGTTAGCTTAATGTGCAGAACAATAAAATAAGATACTGAAGGCCAATTCAATTCAATTTCTATGAGAAAAAAGTCCTAAAAGTCCAGCCATTCTCCAGTCAGGAATGCTGGGCATTACAGAATATTTTCTGTCTAAACATGTATAGGATGATGCCCTTAATTAGAAAAATTCTGGAAAATACTGACATCCCAGACACCATGGAGAATTTGCTGACTATATGAGCAATGGCTGCCCAGATAAGGTGCAACAGTTGATCAAATACCATTGCAGAGTTGTGGTAATGGTGTATATTTAGCAATGGAATACAACTTCCTAGAATTAGGAGAAGAACATTGAGTAATCTACTTGAATGTTGAGTTCAGGTTTCAACTATATAAACACAAGGCAAAACAAAAAAACCACACACACACATACACACTTTCAACCAGAAGAGCAAAAAAAAAAAAAAAAAGTTAAGCTGAGGCCCTCAACCTTTTTCTACCCACAGGCCCATTTGGAAATTCAAGAAATTGAACTGACTTCATCACAAATGGCTTCCATACAGGTTGTGGATAGTGGGAGCAGGGGGGGCTCACTAGTAGAAAATAAGCTAAAGAGGTGGAGGCAGCAAATAGGGTAAAGGAAGAGAGGTGGAAGGAAAAAACACAACAAAGGAGTAGAGAGAGAAGAAAGAGCAAAAGCAGAGGCTGGGAAAAATGGGAAACAGGAAGGTAAAGGTATATAGAAAGGACGATGGTAGAGGTTAAGAGAAGAAACACTGAACTAAAGAGGTTGGGCAGAGAAGGAAGACTAGGGGCTGGTTTAACCTGTTTGCTGTATTGACACCACTCAAATCCTTATGACGTACACTTTAAACAATGTGGGCGTCATAGATACAGGCAGTATTTTGACTTAAAATAATGTTTCTGCAAAATTAGAGCACCTACATAGTTCTTATGTCTATTTGCTTTATTTTGGTTGCAGACACTGTGGAGGACAGTGTATATTTTATAGGACAACTTTCCCAGTAAGGTGCATTCCAGATGTTTTGGCTCACATCAACCTAGTCAGAATAGTTATGGTCAGGGAAGATGGGAATTGTAGTCAACTCTGGAGTTATCCAGGTCTGGGAATGCTGATGTAGTCAACATTGAACTAAAAGGAACAATGGTCCTGTAGGACATACCTGGCTGGCCAGCATTAAGCCTGGGCACATACTTATCAGTGTAACTGGAGCCTCCATGTGGTCAGGGATTTAGGGGAATCCCTCTCCAGAAGCTCCCAGCCCAAACTCCAGGTAGTCCAACCTCCCAGGTAAGCATGGAATGTACCAATGTACAATGAATATACTAATGTGCAATCACAGCAGGAATTTCAACCCAGTAAGCAGCTGTCATTGCTACCTGTTCATCTGGGATCTAAAAGGGGACACTGCTATGTGCTTGAGGTTGACTGCCACTTTACTGTGATCAAACATTATTCTCCAGAATAAAATATACCCTCTTACCCTTGTTGTGCTTAATTGGCCCGAATGTGTCAAGTCTGGACCTCTTGAGTCCAACAATTCTATGACTAGACAACACTGACTATATGCTGAACATTAAGCTGAAAAATACATAAAGATGCTTAAAAATTCTGCAAATATCAGAATTCTTTCATGGATGTCCAACATATAAGGTAGTTTTCACTACCAGTCTAAGTTAAGGTCCATTGATTGAATCTACCCTTGATAGGTCTAACATTGGATATAACCCATGTGGTGGACTAGCACAAACCTGCTGAAATCAAGGGACAAGTGCTACACACCCCTACTTGAAATAAGAATTTACCTTCATTCCAATCATTTGGTTTTAAAACCTAGCACAAGCTCATTTACAACTGCATTTCTGTTTCACACATATGCACAGCACATGTTACAGAAGCTTTAAGTGTGGTACAAAATATACTAGCCCTTATCTAGTTTCTGAGTATTGGGTTGCTACTTTCACGTTTGCTTACACTTCACAAGCCTTATGGGGTTGAGTAATGAATCCAACATTTTCTTATAGCGTTCATCACATAACGAACAACTGCCACAGGGGATATAAAGATGCAAGATACAAGGTAGTGTAGTATTTCCAGAGAAATCTGAGATTCAAGAATGAATGTTGGCAAGTAGGTTCAAGACATTATTTTATGTTTCAACTCTGAAAGCTTTCGACCTCTCCGCCCGTGATTAAAGGAAAACAGAATAAAGATGCACAATATGCTGCAATTCAATGACCAAACTTGGAACTGTCCAACATTGGGATTCACGAGTAACAACAGTACGTTCCAACGGGATGCGGAGCGAGAAGTAAGCACTCTGCTCACCCGATTCCGGCCCAACAACCCCGTCTCCTTCCCTCCACCTTACCCGCCAGGGGAGTATTCCAGGTTGAAGACGGCGCCGTGTGTACGGGTGATGGGGGACACCGAGTCCGCGGGCTGGATAGCACCGTAGAGTCCTGTCATAGCCCGGAACGTATCCCGCGCCGGTTCCACGCAGCGGCCTCCATGGCCCAGGCGCCGCCCGCGTATCCAACCGAACAGGCCCCCGTCGGGCACCGAGACTTGAGAGGAGCTGATGAAGGAGGCCTCCGGGGGTGACTTCGACGACAGCGTCCAGGAGAGTGACGGTGGGGGCGGCGACTGGTCCCCCTCGCCCAGAGGCGGCCGCTCTGGGGTAGGGACCCAACGCACCTTCGAGCTCATCCCGAGCCCGGCCCCGCTGCCACGGACAGCAATAGCAACATTCCTCTCACACACCCTTCGGCCGCCACCGCCAACTCCCCCTACTTCCGGTGCAGTGAGCACCACGAAAAGGTGCCGGCTAGAAACGGGCACCCAGAAGGAAAAGACCGCCAGGATTCTTTCCCGCCAGGTAAGCCGGCCGCACATCAGAACCCGCCTCTTCAAAAGTCACGCCCAGTTCCCCGCGCGTTCTGCCTTACGGGATGCAAAATCAATACACGTGTATACGTCTAGCGCTCGGACAACGCTCTTGCCTTGTTCTGCTGCTGTTCCTTCTCCCTTTCCTTTCGTGGTAAGCTGCGGCGCTTATTGTGTGGCAACTGAGACCTTGGTGATGGAGCGGAGAAATGCCGAACGGGCAACTACTGGACAGCGGCAGCAGCTGAAGGCAACACTGGCGGTGGGTCTTTCACAGACAATGGCAGTGCCGCTCAGATTGACTCTGATTAGTACCGCGCAGAAGTCGGCCATGGCAAGCCTGAATCTTTCTTTCCTTGCAAACCCTATGAAGCAAGCCAAGTATGTTCTTTCGGACGTAAGGGCCATTGCGGTAAAGTGTGCATCTCTGCTAGATGAGTTGCTAAGCAACAACGAGCATTTCACAGCACGAAGTGGATGCGACAAGGACACGCGGGGTGATACCATGAGTGTTCACACTGCACACGCCTAATCGGATCTTGTGCCCAAAACTGAGACCAAGCAAGGAACGTCTCCCAGGTTTCTCAGCACGAGGATCACTTGGAAAAGCTAAGCCCATGCCCAACGCGTCGGGGTATAAAAGTTCCTCCTCCTCTAGCTCCAAATCTGTCACAAGGCGTTTTCATACACTGAGCAGGCTTTTCACCAGGCCCAGTTAGTCAATGTCTTTGTCGCTTGTGTTCCAATACAGACCCATGCTACTTGGTCAGTTTGGTGAGGAGACCGCTCGTATTTTGCCCCGTTGCTGTGTTTGGGTTAAGGTCCAGGTCTCAACCCTCAACAACTCTGCCCCCTCCCTGCCACATCGTATTATGGCTCTTTATACTTCGCATGTTCATGATATTTCAACATTCATCAGATTACTACAAAATGCCACCAGGCTGTTGCTGAGTTAGAACATGCAGTAGTATCAGTGGAGGAGTAAACAAGAAATAAAGACTTTTCAAAGGCTTTATTGCTCATTGCTAATCAGCTATGCCTTGAATAAATACAATTGGAATTGGATACCAGTCTGTAGAATGGAATGTGACTACAGAAGTATTTCATGAAGCCTGCAGCACTGGAAGGCTTGATTACGTTCACACAAGGATTGAATATCAACCTGAGGAGGCATAGGTCACAATCATCCACAGATCTCTTTAAAATGAATGATAGTCTACTAAGAAGACCTTTAGACTGAAGAGACTCTAATCTTGCAAGGAACAGGATTAATTTTAATCAGGTTAGATGAAAAATCAAACCAAACTTGCGACTGGATAAATGGAATGTATTGTGGACATACTATGTGCCTGAGGGTAGTTCTGAAGTCTCCTTTACATGGGTAAAATGGGCAAATAATGAAGAGCCAGTGTGGCATAGTGGTTAAGTGTGTGGGTCTAAGGCAATCTGGGTTTTAGTTCCCACTTTGCCATGGAGCCTGCTGGGTGGCTTTGGGCCACTCACAGACCCTAAGCCCAGCCTGCCTCACAGGGTTGTTGTTTTGAGGATAAGAATGAGCGCAGCAGGAGGAGAATGATGTAAGTCACTTTGAGTTTGATGTAAGAAAAGAGGATATAAATCTAATAAATAAATATCATAGTCCAATCTAGCAAATTTAATTGGTTAAGTGAGCATTCAAACATGTTAGAGTAAGGCAGATTAAGGAACAGAACCTTAATGTACATTCTTTCAGGGGAGAAAGTCTGTATTTTTTGACAGCTCATACTTTCAATTGATGCTAATGAACATATGAAAAGAACATGTACCTTCACTAAAAAAAAACCCAGAGGTTCCCTTTCACCTTTCCTTTCAAGAAGTAAAGAAATATTTAGATTGTAAGATTATTTAGCAGAAATTTGGGATACCATCCGCTTAAGGTCTTGGTCTGAGATCATGAAGATGAAACTGCTCATGGAAGATTTCCAAGCAAACTAACAGAGCAGACACACCAGTTATTTATTTTAAGTATTTTTGTATCACTGTTCAATCATATCTCAGCATGATTTAAAAAAAACAGTTAAAATATAAATACAAAAAAAGCAAAAAGCCACAACATTATAAAAGCAGGTTAAGAAAACCAGTATAATTAGATCTGCATTTGAAGCTCTCCAGAAGATAAAAAGGCATTTGAAAAGACAAAGTAGGTGCTTGCCAAATCCCTTAGTAGTTGTAGAGAAAATGAGACAGAAGGCCTTTCAGATTATCTTTTCCAGTGTCTGATTAAAAATTAGCTTCAAATTTTGCCCATGAAAAGATATCCTGTAGCAGATATGTGTTGGGTCAATTAGATATAGTAGAAATAAGTGTTACCCTTGCAGTTAATCATAGTATATCATTGATTACCATCAAAGAAGCTAGACAGCACATGTCTGATCTTGCCATGTCTTCAGAGTATCTCATTTCAATTAAGATACAATTGATGTGCATTCCCTTGTCACTTCATCCAATACTTGCTGATTTTGACCTTGCAATGCCAACTCACTAATTGGCCAAGCTGGGGCTCAGTGCCAGGACAGCAATATCCTTACAATAAGGGGCTAGCATGCTTTGTTAGGAGGAACTGGCCTTTTCTTTTTCTCTTGGTATTCTCCCCATGGTGTAGAATTCTGAATTTGGATGTAGATCTGTGAAGTGAGCGATGCGATTTGACATGGCAAAAAAGGCCGAAATGGCACCAATGTCCCAGGCATCTTCTCGATCAAATCCGTGTGCCTCCAGCTTCTGAAAATGCTCCTCTGTGATGTTCTCTGCTCGACAGACAGCAAGTGCAAACTCCAGCATGGCCCGTTCCCGATCACTTAGGTCAGCCTTTTTCCAGTTCACTATGACCTGCACAAGAGAAAGCCTACTGAAATTGCAAACATTGGGCTTAGAAAATACAACATTTGGTTCACTTATAACCTTGTTAGACCAAATAGACCAACACTTCAGGTCAGTGGAAAAGAAAGCTGAGTCTTACAGCTAAAATTAAAATTATCTTGAATATGAATCAACGTACATAGTGGGCATATTCTGAACAAGACAGCTAGATGAAAAGGCAGAAATGATTCCCGTATCTTTGATATCTATAAGAAAGAAGGAATTTCAGAAAATGCAGTTTCTTATGCTTGGAACATCATGGCATGGGGAGCAGCATCTGTCAAACATTTGTGCTGATGAAAATGATTTTTAATTGCACTATCAGCTGGGGTACCCAACCTCTTTTGGGTCAGTGGGCACATTTGGAATTTTGAGAGTGTTGTGGGAACATTTAAAAAATGGCTGCCAATTGGGCTGAATATGCTAAGGCTAATTAGGAGGAAGGAAAAAAGTAAATTGCCCAAGCCCCTAATTACAAGACAGGAGTGGGTTACCTCAGAAATGCAAAGCTAGTCTCTTGAATCCAAATAAAGATAATACTGGGGGACAAAACATTGCTGGCACTATACTGTATAGTAATTTTAAAATCTTAGTAAATATGAGGAACATAGACCCCACATATGAATTCATTAACATCTATCATTTTATGCAATACTTAATACATGAAACTGTAATTCAACAATTACTGTTATACTTCCTTTCAAATTGCTATTTATTGTAGGTATTTTGATACTTCCTTGTACTCATATTCTCTACTTGATAATATGTATAATAAAGAATGAAAGTGCTAAGAATAAAATTGCTATGCAGATCTCACAGATATAATTTACTTCTTGGAAGACTGGCCTTCAAGTTTAGAGCAAGCCTGACTTCATTCTTTTCCCTCTTGTTCTGCATGCCATTTCACACAGATACATCTCAAGCATCTGCACAGACCCCACTAATGGCAAAGAAACACACTGAGGATAACCATCTTGAGGAGTGATTTACTGCATAGAACACAAGTCAGCCACTTACAAAAATGGAACAAATGGACACATGGGGGCTAACCTGATCAGCCAGGGTTGGTTTCTTGGAATATATCCTATGTAAAGCACTGTGTGCAATTACGCAGTAGGGACAGTCGTTAACAACACTTGTAGCCACGATAATGAGCTCTCTGTCAGCCTTACTTAGGTTTCCTGTGGGAGAATGGATATGCAAGATATTTTGAGGGTAGTCATTTGTTCACAAGATCAAGAGCTCATGCCTTCAAATCTTGTGTCTGAATCTGACCTGCAATTCCTTTACTGCAGTCATCGGTTTTTTTCAATGCAAGCAAGTATTCGGACAAGTTGTACTTTATAATTGAAATATTATTATCTGCCACCATCAATCACTACCTTTCAGTAGTTTCAAGTTGATTGGAAAACAGGCACAGACATAAGGAAGTGGGTGTCCTTTGTAAATGCAGCTTAAATCTCCAAACAATTCTCTTTCACCCACAAGGATGTTATAACTATCCAATGTGTATTTGGACAGTTATCACAGGTTTCATAAAAATCATGGGCCAGCATGTAAAGGATAAATCTGAATCCTAAAAAATCAGGGCTACAACCATGATCTCTACATTGTGCTAGTGAGAGACTCTAATCTGCTAGAAGCAACAGCAGCTATATTAATTAATATCAAAAAGATGGGCCCTGGTCACCCTAAGACATGAAAACCACTTTCCTTGGGGCTACAGCTACACACAGGATTCACTGGTCTGGGGTTTTATCAAAAAAAGAGAAAATTAAATTTAGGCAGAAGTGTAGCATAGTCCCTCACACCTGCAAGTTTCTAGAGCTTTGTATCAGTTGTGAGATTGTATTAGTGTTGTGGTCCAACATCCTGTTGTGCTGTAATGCCGTTTCTTCAGTTGTTGTTAATATTCAATCATTTATTACTATTCTGCACTGTACTGGTGCATCCCACTCTTCTGGCTTGTTTGCTCTTTGCCGACATCCTTACAGCCACTACCAGAGCTTCCAAAATTAAAACTTGGCTGCAGCATTTGTTCTATGGTGGTGTGCTCTAGTTAACTTTATGTGTACATGGGAGAAAACTCTGCATCCAACTGGGGCATGGGGGATATTCTCTGTTAAGGTCTTGGCTTAGCCACTTGCAGATGCCAAACAGGTGGGCATTTTTACACATTAAGGTTTAAATTTTAATATGAAAAGTGCCTTGCTCCTTTAAGATATGCTGGAAACTTAAAGTGCATCTCCTCTGATTTTCATCAGGTTTTCAGAAAGTGCACAAGCCATCATGGGTGCTCTTCAAGCCATCCTTTAAAACCCACAGATATACCACATTGAGCATGACAAAACCATCCAGATGGCTTCCTCTTTACTGAAAGCTAGACATTCTTGGATGCTACATTATTTTGTACTAGAGGAATAATGCAGCAGTTTTCAGGATTTTACAGTCAATGGGAGTTATTGTTGTCTGAGAGTTATACCAAGAATAGAACCAAGGAAGGCTGGGTAAAAACACTTACACCATCCATCCACTGGCAACACGGCTGCAGTTCCATATACCACTAGTAGTTTATGGCATTCATATCCAAGAGTTATTATTTCCATAAGATTATAGTCCAAAATCAGTTCCTGTTCCTACCTGTCTCCTTGTTCATGATGGCGTTGTAGTAAGCAAAGAAGGCTCTAAATTCTGCTGGGCGATGAGACATCGCCTTAAACACATTAGGCAAAAACCCACTCTGAGAATTAAGAAAAAATACTGGTCAGACATCTTAAATCACTCATTTAGTGATTAAGGTTGCATGCAATGCTGATTCTATTTTCAGCCTCAGACATACCCATATGGCACAATTACCTGCAAGCCACCTATGAATAATGTTGAGACAAAGACTGGAAAGCCTTCTAGAAGACCTCCTGTGGCTCCTAGCTGGCCCTATGCCTGTAAACACCAACAGGTTCAATGCTAATCAATATCAATTCTGCAAGTACTTGCAGGATGAATCAGGCTACTTCCTCTACCAGGCCAGGAAAGGAAGCTGCATTGTTTTACAGACCCTAATGTTGCCTCAAGGGACAAAACAACTTGACTGGCTTTGAGTACTACTAAGCACCTGGAGTTGGGAGGCGGGAGGGGGAGGTTGCCATTTGCTGCCCTGCCTCAGGCAGCAAAATGTCTTGGGGCCAGCTGTAGACATGGCTACAGAAACCTCTGGAGTGGCTGAGGTAGAAGAAATTATGTGGGGTATGGAAACAACTGGGGCTACAGAGGGATCTGTGCATAGGGAAGCATGTTCAGGATTGCATTGAACTGTGTAATCCTAAGCATAATTACATCATGTTACATGGGGTAGTATAACTTGGGAGTCCTGCAACAGCAGGGGTTGGACCTGATGACCTTCTGTCCCCTTCCAACTCTACTATTCTATGATACTAGGACACTATGGAGCACTGTCATGTCTCTGCTTCTGAATCACTGTAGCAATAATATAGCTACTACAGCTCACAGGGGGAGCACATGCTTTGCATGCAAAATATCCCAGATTCTCAATTTATTGCGCCTCACATTTAAAGGACCAGGTAGCAAGAGATGGGAAGGTCCTCTACTGAGATGTGGGGAACAATTGCCAGGGAGAATAAACAGTAACATGTTAGAAGGATGAAGAGGCTAAGCTGGTATAATAAAGATTCTTTGTTTCAAAATATGAGGCTTGTGACCCTCTAAACCCCACCACACAGACTGCCAGATATCCAATCATTTCCTTGTTTTTGCAGTATCAGGTAGGTGGGAAAATTATCACCCAGCTATCTGTGACCCTATGTGAACAGAGATAGCCTGTCAACAGTTATCAATATTCTAGTACCTCCTGGCTAGATTGCTTTGATGAACTGTATGTGGGACTACCTGTAAAGATGGCTCAGAAACATTCCTTAGTTCAAGACAGAATTGCTAGATTACTAACTGGGATTGGCCAATGTCATCATAAGGTGCCAGTGTTTTATCAACTGCACTAGCTTCTGATCTTTTCTGCAAGCCATATTCAAAGCATTGGTGTTGACCTTTAAAACCCTAAACAGCTTGGGACCAGAATGTCTAAAGGCATGTCTCCACCCACATATACCTCTTCAGACCCGTAGGTCATTTTCAAGGGCCCTGTTGCATATGTGACCATCAAGAGACAAAACTTAAAAAAAAAGAAAGTCTTCAAATGAGATCTTCTCACTCCCCAAAGAATTCCTTAAGAAGTTTGCCTAGCACTTCCATTGCTATCTTCTGGGTGTCAAACAAAGGCCGAGCATTTAGCATTTTAACAACCTAATTCTCAATTTTTAATGGCTGTTTCATCAATTTCTGTGCTGCTTGTTTTGCATTGTTTTTATTCTTTTAAATATTGGTATTGTACTTTTTATTTTTACCTGTTCTATGGCATTATAGGTTTTTTTCCAAATGGTTTTAATTATCCCAGAGAATGTTGGTTATTGAGCAGATCCAAGATGTAATATTAAATAAAGAAATAAAGCTCCTGATGTGTCATTGTACATGTCTTATGTGTCTTACTGGGCACAATGGCTTTAATGACCCACTACGTACAAGGTTGCATTCCCTTAGTAGGTAGAAATAAATCCAGACAGCTAGCAGTGCAGATAAAAAAATCCTGATCAAAACTGACTACCTTTCTGTCCATATACCAGTCTTCCTCGTGCTGGTGCCCACACTGCTGATGTATTGGGCTTCAAATCCCACTACCCACAGCCAGGTGCCAGTCTTGGAAAGGATGTTAAAAACATGTGCTTCAAGTATCTTCAGAATGACATTTTTCTGACAAGACACTCTTACCTTTACTTCTACTTCATCCATGAGTTCTACTATATCGTATGGCAAATCATTCTTATTAGGTATTGGATAGCGCCCAATTGGCTTAGTGACATTTCCTCCCTCTGTGCTGTATGCATGCTTCAAGGTTCTAGTCTGGGGTCTTCCTCCAAAGCTCCCCAACACACTTAGAGGCAGAAGCTAGAAAACAGAAAGGCAGAAAAACTTGCATTTGTTACAGTATGGCAGGGGTGTTGAATTCGAGACCTGAACACAATTCCCCAGATGTGCTTGGGGGCTGCATTCCAGTGGTGCACAGGGTTGTGGTGGTGGTGGTGGTGGTGGGCTTTAGGAGAGGCTTCAGAAAAAGAAAACTAGCAAACTATTGGCTGCCAGGAAAAGGGGGTGGGGTGGCCAGCAGGGGAATCAGAGGCTGCAGCAAGGTGTGTGTCCAAAAAATTATTTGCAGAATGCTTAACTGCACCATTTCTGGCCCTGCACCATTTAGGAGGTCCTAAGAGTTCCAGAACATGTAGCTCTCTCTGCCTTTTAGCATCACTGCAAGGCCAATATCCAAGCAGCTACTTCATGTGAGATTTTTATTCCCCTTTGATTGTCTTGCGTTAGTGCTGCATAGTTTCAGAAGCAAATACAGTTTGTTAGATGGCTCAGAGGACCGTTTGGGAAATCCAAACCCAAAGCTACTATGAATGTGTAGTACTCCTTGCTTTGTTCTTTGGATCCTGGACCAGGAACATGGATGACAGTCTCTTCAGCATTGTGTGGCTCAAATGCCTTTGACTTTACCTGAGACCTTTCAGCTCCTTTAAAGCCTGGCTCCTATTGGGGGCTTATCGCAGCTTTGAACTGTAACAGGTCAAAGGTGCTTTATGCCATGAGCTTCCGAGGGTCAACAAAACTTCAACCCAGCCCTTCTAGAACCTCTGGAACTCAGAGCTGATTTCTAAACAGACTTGATCCTCTGACCCACTCGCCCACCCCAATATACCAGCAGTCATTTCTCCACTGGGCAAACACACAGACTGTATTCTAAAATAGTCAGCTGGCCAGCACCAAGAAGGCTAAAACCACCGGCACCAGGAGTTCCCACATATCTCCTGCCTTTGAGCCATTACTTGTAAGCAGTCGAATTTACTGTCCTAAATCAGATGCAGGGATCTTTTATTCCAGCTTCCCCCAACCTCATATGCTGAAGACGCATGGGACTGCATCTCCCATTACTGGGAATTATGGGAGTTGTAGTCTATTACATTGAATGGCACCAAAAAAGGCTGTTTTAGTAACGGGAAGGCAGCGGACGGTTCCCATGAGCCTGAGACTGCATTTTCAGAAGAAGCCATCTGTGAGCTGTTGTCTATTTGCCTGGCCTGATGGGACACACAAGTCAGGCGAGAAGCGGCTGGCGGTAATCCGGGGTGTGCCCAGGAAATAAGCGTCCCCCGCTTCTCCAATGCCTGGGATGGCCACCCTTCGAAACACGCGGGCTGCTAACTAACCGGATCCGGTGGAAATGGAATCGGTTTGGTAGCTCGGCCGCCTGCGTCCTGCAGCCCCGCCGTCACTACTTACAAAAGCGGAGCCCCGACGGTGGAGCTGCAGGAGGCCGGCGAGGAGCAAGCGCTTCATTGCGGCGGTCGCAGAAGACGAAGAAGCAGAAGAACGAGGAAAGCACTACAGGGTGGGGCGCCCTCACACGGATCCTCGCGTCGAGAGGAAGTGCGCATGCTCAGCCAGCACTCCTTCTCCCCGCAGTCGCCGCACCTCCCAAGCAGAAAAGCTAATTGGGCAACGGAAGGGCGAGGCAGCAGCCAATGGAAGGCCACGGCCATGGGAAGCGCCCGGCCCCCACGCGACGGCGGGCAGGCCCCTCCCCCGAGCTCTGAGCAAGCGCGCGGCGCGAGGGTTTCGTGGCCACAGCGCGCGCCTGGTAGATCGCGGCGTCGGAGAGCGACCGTCATAAAGCCCTGCGCGTGGACAAGGAAGAATACTGCAACTTCCCGATTGCCAGAAGTCTTTCTCGCGCGGGGACAACACCAGCTCCTCAGATGCATAGCACGGATGTTCCTTAGGAACACCTGCACCTATTCAGAACGTCAATTGGTCCACCAAGCTCCGGCTGCAGGCTCTGGGGAGGCTCTTGGCCAGGGCATGCTCAGTGCACTTGCAGGGATGGGCATCATGAGGAATTCAGCATCTTCCAATGCTGTGTAGGCCCTGTAAAGTCACTGAATCAACATCTGATACTATTGGCCCTTTTTTAATTTTTTTTATTATTTTCTACCAATAAGACAGTAATTATTCCAAAGACATCAGACACACTGAGTTACCGTATTCTCTTTACAATTAATGTATATTTCAGCCCTAAATATAATCCCATTTCTCTAACCAATGATAAAAAGTGCAGAGTTTGATAGCAGTATGTGTCTTTTTCCTTAAAAGACAGTCTGTCCATTTCTGCACAGTCCAATATCTTCCTTAGAATCAATTCTTCAGTTGGTAATTATTCCTCCAGTGTTGAGCAAATACAATCCGCTGTGATTACACATAAAGTCAAATATATGCTTTGTTTATCGAAATAATTAGGGAGAATGCCTAATAAAAATACTTCTGGTTTAAATATTACAGGTCTGTGCAACATTTCCCCAAGCCATCTATGTCTTTTAACCCAGTATTATTTTTTTGCTTTATCACAAGTTCACCACACGATAAAAAGTACCAAGCTTTTGTTTATATTTCCAACATCTATTTGACATATTTGAAAACATTTTTTGCTAATTAAGTGACAAATACCATCTATAGAACATTTTATAAAGATTTTCTTTATATGAGGTTGCCAAAGTTATCTTAATATTCCTTTCCCACAACTTTTGCCATTTCTGCAACTCAATATTATATTCAAAATTTTGTGCCCATGATATCATAGTTTCCTTTACTTGTTCATCTTCCATTTTCATATCTAAGAGAAAGTTATACAATCTTTTGATCATTTTTTCATCTGATTTTAAAATTATTTGATCAAACAATGTTTGTTCCTTGTAAAAGCCATACATTTTATAATCTTTAGCATACCTCAATTGTAGTTGTACTTGATGCCACCAAGAAAGATCAAAGTCACAATCTTATTAAAGTTCAAAGTGTTTGGATATACAAGGGCTTCCTTAGGAGAAAGTTTATTTTCTTTAGTTTTTCCCAAACTGAAATCAATGAGTTCCTAATATAATGGTTTTGGAAATACCCATAGGTTTTACGTTTCTCATACCACATAAAGGTGTGCTACCTCATTTGCATATCATGTCCTTCAAGGTATAAAGTTCTTGTTACTTAAGAGTTATCCATTCTTTTAACCACATCAAAACACATGCTTGATAGTACAACAAGCTATCAGGAAGACCAAAACCCCCATTCCCTTTAGCCTCTGGAAGCATTTTTAATTTAATTCTTGGTTTTTTCTTTTGCCATATAAATCTCAAAACTTACGTGTTTAACTCATCAAAAAACCTTTTCTTGATTTTTATAGGAATTGTTTGAGATAAGAACAAAAGCTTAGGTAATATATTCATTTTAACTATAGCTATTCTTCTCAACAGTGATAGTTGTAGATTAGTCCATTTTTCTAAATCACTCTTAATCGCTTTAAGCAATTTAACGTAATTGTCTTCCTTCAGTGTAGCACATCGAGCTGTTAACCAAATTCCCAAGTATTTAACCTTTTTAACTATTTGAAGATGTACCTGTTCCATCAATGCTGTTTTTTGCTCCAATGTAAGATTTTTGACTTAAATAGAGAAAAGAATAAGCTATTATTTTCAGTAATTTCTCCATAATCTTCCATATTTTTTTAGTAATTTAGGCACCGTTAACAGAGGATCTTCTAAGATGAAAACTAGGTCTGCAAATGCTTGAAGTTTATGGTTTTCATCTTTAATTTTTGCTCCTTTGATATCCGTACCTTTTCTGACACTTTCCTTGAGAACCCCTAAGATCAGTATGAATAGCAATGGTGACAAAGGGCATCCTTGTCTTGTGCCCTTTTGAATGTTTATAGTCTCTGTAAATTCTCCATTAACTATTATCCTTGCAGTCTGTTTTTGGTAAATGCTTGTTATTGCATTTATAAAGTTTTCACCAAATTCCATTTGTTTTAATTGCTGATTCATAAACTGCCAATTAACATTATCAAATGCCTTCTGTGCATCTAAGGACAATAATGCCATTTGTTTTTCAGAATGTACTTCCTAATACTCTAGAATATCCAGAATAGTCCTCACATTGTCTCTAATTTGTCTCTTAGGGAAAAAACCATTTTGATCTGTATGCTTAAAATCTATTAAGAATTTCTTCAACCTTTCTGCCATTACAGAGGCAAAAATTTTGTAATCCACATTCAGACATGATATTGGACTGTAATTTTGGATCTGTGTCAAGTCCATATCTTCTTTCAGTATTAGGGTAATATCTGCCTCAATCCAAGTGCTTGGTATTTTGGCTTCTAATAATACTGCATTACATATGTCCTTCGGTGGTGTACTTAAGATTCCTTCAAAGCATTTATAATACTCCGCAGGTAGTCCGTCTGGGCCAGGAATTTTATCATTTTTCTGCCTCTTAATCATTTCCCTTATTTCTGTCATTGTTATTTCCTCATTTAATATTTTTTTAAAATTCTCCGGCAGCTTTGGTAGATTTTCATTCTGGATATATTCTTGAATATTCTCAGTTGATACTTCTTTGGCTTGATATTGTTTTGCAAAAAAATCTTCAACTATTTTCCTTATGGGTGCACTTTGTACTTGTAGTTGTCCTTCTCTGTCTTTCAACTTAAAAATTAATCTCTTTTCTCTTTCTTCCTTTAATTTATAAGCTAGCCATCCTCCAGGTTTATTAGCATTTTCAAAGACATTCTGTTTAGCCATTTTAACTTGCTTAGTTTATTCATTTGTTTCTAAAAGATTCAGTTTATGTTTTAAGATATTCATCTGTATCTTAAGATCTTTTTTTGAAGGATCCTTTTGTAGTTCCTGTTCCAACTTCATCAGCTCATCCATTAGTTTAAGCCATTCCTGTTTTTTCATTTGCTTTTGCTGTATAGGTTATGATCAGTCCTCTAACATAGGCTTTAGCTGTATCCCAGACATTTTGTGAAGAGGTTTCTTCTACTTTATTTTCTTGAAAGAAAATTTTTAATTCCCTTGTTATTTCTTCTTTGAAGTTTTTATCTTTTAATAAGTATTTATTAAATGTCCATCTGGGCAGCTTTGGTATTCCTTTCAAGGCCTTGGTTATGGGATTATGATCAGCCCACACATTTGTGTCTATTTCAATTTCTAGCAAATCTGGAATTAGGTCTGGAGTCATCCAGATCATATCGATTCTGGACCATGACCTATGTCTATTCGAATAAAAATTGTGTTTGATTGTAGTTGTATTTTTGTGTCTCCAAGCATCTATAAGTCTAAATTCCTCTAGTAAGTTAAAAAAAAGATTTTGGAAGTATTCTTCTTCCTCTTTCTCCTTTATTGCCGCTCTTATAGTCCATTTTTTAAAATCAACAATTGCGTGAAAATCTTCCATTAAGCAAAGGGTTTGGTATTTAGTTTGCCTAAGTAAAGTATGTAATTTTTGGTAAAAAGTTTCCTGTTGGTCGCTAGGTGCATAGACTGCCACCAAGACCAGCACCTTCTTTTGTTTTATTGTCACCTCGACCATTAGAATTCTACCATCTTCATCTGAAAAAAATATGTTTAGGATCCAGATTTTCTTTAATATATAAGGCCAAACCACTTTTCTTTTGATGGGCCGAAGATATAAATACCTTACCAAGTTTGGTGTGTTCCAGAAGTTTATGGTGGTTTTTTTTATATGCGTCTCTTGTAGGCAAATTATGTCTAGTTTCAATTTTTGAAGTTGAGAAAAAATTCTTTTTCAAAAATTCTTAGGAGGAGAGTTTAGTCCATTTATGTTTACTGAGAGTAATTCAATTCTTCCTTCCATTTTAAAATCCGTATTTATATAATGTATATACCTATTTATATTTAGGTTTCACATTTCTAACTTTTCTCTTTGTTTTGATAGCTGTTCATCTTTGTTCTAAAATTGCTGTTTCTTCTTCATCTGCAAGTGAATTGCAGCCTCCACCTCTCCATTTTTTTCTTCTTTTCTTCAGTTCAATCTTCATCTTCAAATGCACTTTTAAAGCTTTCATAAAATTCTTGAGCCTTAAAGATTGAATCTAATCTGAATCTTCTGGAATTCCAGTTAAAGAGTATCCCTTCTGCTATCAGTCATCTAAACATAATTCCTTTTGCCGTCAGCTTTGAGGTAAGGAATTGGTATTTCTTCTGTCCTTCTCTGATTCTCCAGGGTATTTGCTTCAAAGCAATTATTTCATTTTGCTGGCATCTTTATGGCCAGTCTCGTATAATTTTGTGAATTTCATCTCTTGTAGACCTTTTTGTAAATTTAATATGGACTTCTCTGGGAAGTTTATGTCTTCTCACGTAGCCTGAGTTTGCTCTATAGACCAAATCAATATCTTTAGCAATCTCTTTCTTTTCAATGCCAAGAGCATCAGCTAGCATTGTATTTATTAGGTCATTTAAGTCTTCATTTTTTGTCTCTAGTACATTCTGTAGTCTGAAGTAGTTAGATGCCTTATCCATCTCCAATATAGCCACTGAGTCCCCTAGTGTCTTATTTATTTGCATTAAATGTTGTATCTTCTTACTCACCACTTCGGTCTTCCTATCAATATTATCAGTCTTATTTTCCACCTCTTTTTTTTTGTTCATTCTGTACTTTTTGAAGTTGAATATCTGCAAATTGAGTATTTATAGCTGGAATATGACTATCCAGCTTCTCCAAACTTTCATTTTGGTCTAAAGTCATCTTCTCCAATTTCTTATTTTGTTCTGAGGTCACTTTCTTTTGTTTTGAAGCCAGAACAATAGACTCTTGAATTGACTCTTGAAATGTTATAAGTGTTGTCAGTATCTCCTTGTGGAATTTTTCCTGTTGAGTCATCAGATCCGATGGTTTTGATTGAGATGGACTTTGACTAGCAGATACAGGTGGACTCATTATTAAAAATAATGATTCAGACCCCTACTAGTTATTTTAGCGGATAAAAGGAGTGGCACATCCAAGACGGTTCTAACCGTACTGTCCAGAGACTTAAAGTTGAAGTTCAAAGTTTTATTGAAAGAGCCTGTTGTAAGGCAAAATGACCTCAGGATGGCAGCAAAGGACTGCTTATGACAGCGTGTATCTTCGATTTTCATATACAATGGCCGGAAATGGTCAGATTGCCATGAAAGCCCCAGAAAGGAATGTAAACAAAGAGAAACGACGGACTTTTTCTTTAAATTGATTTACAGTAGATTTCAGATCTAATTCTTCGCTCTTGGGGAAATTAAAAAAGAGTTCTTCTTTCCCAGCTCTTGAACTGTTGAGCTTTCTCAATCACCCCAGATTTGTCGCTGCTTAAAGTCTGTGTGTGTGGGGGGGAATTCTCCCCCTCCATTGAAGGGCTTTTTATCTAAATTAATGCTTATTCCAGGAATTTCCTTTAAGGGTTCAATTCTTAAAATAGATATGGTCTCACCTAGCAGATCCAAGGTCCAGTTAAAAGCTTTCTTATTTTTCCGTTGTTTAACCGGGGCCGACAGCTACCGAGGGATTAAGTCCCCCTCTGGTCCCCTTCACCATGAAATCGAGGATTTCCCCTGGCGGGTGAGAGGGCCGCCGCCCCGAGACACACCAAAAGCAGCTCGTACTCTTGCACCGCCCGCCCACCCCCAGGGCAGTGAATTGGGCTTCTCCAAGCCCCCAGGTAAGCGGATTTCGGTGCGAAATACGGAGCACCAGTTTTCGCTGCCGATCTCGCCGCAACGTAACCGGAAGTGATACTATTGGCCCTTGTTGATGAATAAGTATGGATCAAATGTGTTCTCTATGCTTTATCCTGAGTCCTTAAAACAAGCTAGGATCAAAGGAGATACAATGACAAAAGTTTGACGTGCATTATTTGGGGACAGTGGGGTGAGGAGAGTATGTTTTTTGGCGATTCATATTGGAATTGTATGAGTGTCAATTATAAAAGGCAAGAGGGTGCTGCAAAAACGGGAGTTGTTTGATCACCTTTCCTTGCACATGTTACGTTTTGTGTGTGTGTCCATCCATGGGAGCCATAGGATAGCTTGGAGTCCCACCTCTGCAGAATGCCTTACACGTTTGGAGTTGGGACTTCCACCCTGGAGGGGCCCTCAAATCAGTTCTTACAATCAGTGTGGATCAGTCTGTGGTGGATGGGCTCTGAAGATGGATGACGGTTTTCAGAGCCAGTGTGAGGTGGGCAGGAAGGAGCAAGGCACCACTGGCTACTGAGGAATCCCAGTGGAGCATCAGCCTTTTCTCAGAAGGAAGGGAAAACCATTTAGATGGCTGAAAGGAAGGTGTTTGGAAAGTGCAGGAAGCACAGAGGCAATCTCTTCCTTCAATCAATTGCCTATAATCTTCAGAGCCTGGAGAGCTACAGACAGTTCCACTGGATGGCACCGTAAGGTCATTTAGTAAAGCCCTGGGATGCCACTCTTTCATCTCCTTATGGTTTGAGATCAGGTAGAATGAAATGCCCCTGGGAAAATGTACAAGGAGACCACTACAGCAAAGACTACATCCTTACTTTTGGTAAGTATTTTCAAACCAATCAATCATATCCCATGGTAATTTTAAAAATGGTGAAACTGTAATGAATAAAATAAAAACCACAAAAGTGTAAAAGCAGAATAAATCAAACAGCAAGATTAAAACTGCATCTAAAAATCTCCAGAAAATAGAAAGGTTGGTGTGAAAAAGAATCACATATGTACTAGGCAGTCTCTGGTATTTGTACAGGACATAAAATGGATGAATGTTCAAGTATCTGATTAAAAATCAATTCCCAATTTTGGTCCTTATGAGATTTCATATAACAGTTATGTGCTGGGCCAATTACATATAGTAGAAACAAGTGTTACTCTTGTAGTTAATCACAGTATATCACTGATTATCATTTATGAAGAAGCCAGACAGCTTGCTATGTCTGATTCTAATCTTGCTATGTCTTCATTTTAGTGAAAGAGACAATTGAAGATGATGTACTCATCTCACTGTCTCCAATACTTGCTGATTTTGACCTTGTGATTCCCACTCAATAGTTGATCAAGCTGGGATTCAGCAGTGGAGATCAAAGCCCTCGCAAGGATTTGTTAGGAGGAATTACCCTTTTCTTTTTCCTCTGGTATCCTTCCCATGGTGTAATATTCTGGATTTGGATGCATATCTGTCAGCAGAGCTATACGATTTGCCATGGCAAAAAAGGCTGAAATGGCACCAATGTCCCAGGCATCTTCTCGATCAAATCCGTGTGCCTCCAGCTTCTGAAAATGCTCTTCTGTGATGTTCTCTGCTCGACAGACGGCAAGTGCAAACTCCAGCATGGCCCGTTCCCGATCACTTAGGTCAGCCTTTCTCCAGTTCACCATGACCTGGACACAAACAAAGCTACTGAAAATAGCAAACTTGGTTTCTCTTATGGCTAATTCAAAGCCTAAGTGTAAGGATTTATTTATATATTAAAAGCTTTTCTATCCCATCCCCTACAGAATGTTTTGGGATAGCTTGCAATAAATAATTAGAATAAAACAAACCCCACAGCATCCGGCCATTAATATACTAAAGCCCCAGTTAAAATCATTTAAACAAAATAATAACAACTTTCTTAGTTTTTGCAAAAGACCTTTAAGGTAAGATATCCAGTAATATAGTATCAACTAATTAAGGGCTATCCCTTCCTTTTCCAACAATGAACTTCTTCAAGCCCAAAATGTTCTTTGTCCATATCAATTACCCCCTTTAAAAGCTTCCACTGAAGTGCAAGTGAGATTCAGAGCAGGCAAAATCTCTCACATCAGGTCAGCTATTGATCATCAACAGAACATTTTCCCAGTGTGGGGAGACTGCATGGGCCCAGACAGTAGCAATGAAACAAGTACACAAAGCTTTAGTGTGCGAACCTATGCATGGAGAGACTAAAAAGCAGTCCTACAACTCTCAGATGCTCCAGCCAGCCTTGCCAGCCATGATAACTGGAGCATGCTGGGAACTGTAGGGTTTTTTCTGTCCATACATGCACAAGAGTTCAACCTTAAGAAGTCACTGACTTTATAGAACAGCACAGAAGTCAAGCGCACAGATAGCTGAGATGAACAAGATGGCCACGAGAACTCACCTGATCTGCCAAGGTTGGTTTCTTGGAGTACATCCGATGAAAGGCACTATGTACAGCTACGCAGTAGGGGGTGTGGTTAACAATACTTGTGGCCACGGCAATGAGCTCTTTGTCAGCCATGCTGAGGTTTCCTGTGGGAGACCAGATATGCAAAGTAGTCTTCAGAGTAGTCTCTGGACTGAGTCGCAAGATTCTGGGTTTTTGCTTTGACAACCTGTTTCTGTGTTTACAGGTGCCGGGAATCTTTCCTGGAATTGCTTCATTGCAGTGTACAAACCCTGAATTTTCACATTCTTTTCTTTCTTTATTTACAGAATCCCTCCATTGCTACAGAGAATCCAGCTTTACTAGGCAGTGCAGCTTTTTCTTTCGATTCTGAAAGGTTCAAGTGCCTCTCCTAAGGCTTAGCAGTAAGAGTGTAAATTAAAATTTCTAGGCTTTTTTGTCCCATTTGACCCTTTGCTTTTGACTTGTGTCTTTTACCCCCATTCCTTTGGCCATGGCCATCACTGGAATGTGACCCAAAGAGATCCTCCAAAATGAAATTCATACCTCAGCTTGAAAAAGGTTCAATAAGCTGACTTTATTGGTTCAGACTATTACAAGGAAATGTATGTCTTTTGCTATTGTAATTTGAATCTGCAAGCACGTCTCTCTCATCTCCAAAGGATGTTGTACTTGTATCTATTCAATGTGCTTTTGCATCATAAGTTTTCTAAAACTCTCACTCAACAGAAATCACAGGCCAGCATGTAACCAACATGCAGAAACAAACTACTGACTGGGTTCTTATGACAACCCATCATGGGTTGCTAACACAGATTGAGTCCAGGAGGTGACTTGTTTGAGGGTAACAATCCATTCTGACAACTGGTGGCTTATTCAGAGGGTTGTTGTGCCCATGATAGGTTGTCCTGTCATAAGAACCCAGGCAACTGCCTCCATTGTGGGTACCAGGATTCAGATAGCAGCCTGCTTAGTAAGAGTGGCAAAAACTCCTTGACACGCTTGCCAGGCATGGCCGGGCACCTGCCAGTTTCAGCAACCCCAAAGGAACTCGGGTGGCATTTGGAGGTGGCTGGCACTGGCTTGCTGCCTTCCCTGCTGCCATCAGCTGGCCAAGATTCTTTGTCATTTTATCTTTTTCTCAGTGATTGCAAAAGCCTCTTGACAGCCAGCTTTTGTAATCTCTGTTTTTGCAACCACTAACATCCCTTGAACAGCCCTGGGGTGAGGGGTGGGGAGCTGAGAGTGGCTGGAAGAACTTTTTTTGGCACAAAATATTGTGCAAATAGGTATGCATTAAAAAAAATCACTTACACAACTGTGGATATATGTAGGTGTGTGGGTATGGGAATGGGAAGCCAGGGCTAAGGCAATGTCCTTGAGGGTCGCTGCTGCTAAGAGTATGGTGAGTGGGAGAGGGCAAAATGTGCTCAGAGGACCTTGTAAAAACAAACCAGGAATCTCACAACAATGTGGGGTGGAAATCACCCCACCTTTTGCATGCAAAGATTACTGACATCTTTAGTTTCTTGACAGTTCTCCTTTTGACAGCTGCTGAAAGAAAGGAAACGTTGGGCCTATTTGAAACCTCTTTTGTGCACTTGGCAGCAGGTACCCCATGACATCGCCCCAGGAGAGGCTTCAAATTCTTACCCTGTCACAACTACATCCTTCCCCAGTTGTGCAATGGTAGCAATTTAAAAAAAAACTTTTTGGGGTAAATTTTGCAGTCACAATCCCCTGGCTTTGCAGTCTCCTAGGATACCCATGGGAGGACCAAGGGGAAGGATTGAGCCAACACCCCGGCTGAATTACGGTGAGCCCAATTGTCTTTCAGGTACACTATGGGTTGTTCACACAACTAACACATTGTGGTTTATTGCCAGTGTGTATTGTTGCGGCATGTGAATATGTGCTGAGGAGAAATAATCCCCGATAATCAGGTAATCAGAACTAGAACTATGATCTCTACACTGTTCCAATGAACTAATCCTATCAGAGAGATGCAGTAGAAGTGGGGGTGGGTGTTGAGAGAGATCGAGAGAGCCTGGTAATCCTCAAACATGTAAATCTAACACTCTTTTGGTGTGTGTGTGTGTGAGATGTGGAAGGGGAATGTTGCACTCACTTGCACGACCTGAGACACAAGCACATTTACAAGTTCCATCGTTTGATATGCTTTTGATGTGTGTTGCTTGTTGAGAATGTGCTGGGCACCTCAAATGCACCTCTTATTTTTATGGAGATCTTAGAAAGTGCACCAACCATCACTGATGGGTTTACTTAAACTGGTTTTTGAAGACCAACACACTAAATTCTTCTGGATGAGTGGACTGTCTGCAGCATTTGCCAGGATTTTAACCTTAATGATGTTGATGTTACTTATCTTACTGTCAGAACGAAAGACTACTTGCTGAGGTGCTTAGCTTGCCCATTGGCAACACCAATGGAATTCTGTATACCATTGATGGCATATGGCAGTTTTATCAAGACAGATACTTCCAGATTATAGTCCAGGCTGAGTTCCCATCTTACCTGTTTCCTTGTTCATGACAAGATGGTGATAATCAAAGAAGGCTCTAAATTCTGCTGGCCGATGAGACATTACCTTAAACACATTGGGCAGAAACCCATTCTGGACATTGAGGAGAAAAAACTGATCAGGCATCTTAACATATCCAGTAATGTTATATGCATTGCTGATGTTATTCCTGTCTCAGATATACTCGTATGACACAATTAGCTGTGGGTTTGGATGAGGACACTGCAGAGCAACAAGCCACCTCGACAACCCTTGGGTTATTCTTGGGATGGTTGCACTCAGGATGGGCTGTTGCATCATCCAGACCTGGGCTACCGACTTCATTGTGGGTAGCAGGACTCAGCTAGCAACTTGCCTGGTAGGAATGGCAAAAACTCTTTGTCACGTCTGTGAAGAATGCCAGGGCACCTGCCAGTCCCAGCTGCCCCCAAAGGGTTTTGCTGGCACTTGGGAACAGCTGGCATGGCCTTGCTGCCTTCCCTGCTGCTATCAGCTGGCCATGATTCTTTTTTTTCTTTTATACTTTTCCCCTGCTGGGATTGCAAAACGCTCTTGACAACCAGCTCTCATGATCTGTTTCTGTAACCACTAACAGCCCCTGCAGTGTGCCCAACATATTAGTGGCTAGCAGAGCATTCATTTATAATTTTTTTAATGCCACGTCTCTGCTTCTGAATCCCCATAGCAATGAGAAGGAACCGCAGCTCAGTAGGGGAACACATCCTAAGGCATGCAAAATATCCCAGGTTCTCAATCTTTTCCCTCTACATTTAAAGGACTAAGTAGGAAGATATGGGAATGTCCTCCGCCTGCGACCTGGGGAGCCACTGCCTGGGAGACGAGAGAGTACTATCTTAGAAGGATGAATAGGCTCACCTGATAGAAAGCATCTTTTAAATTACGAGTTTTGCAAGTATTCTTTGCTCTCAAGGAACAAGTTTGTGGCCTCATAAGACAAATGCAATGCACCATGTTGGCTCCCAGGTGCTCAGTCACCCCATCGCTTCTGCAGTCCCAAGCCAGTAGCCAAAAGAGGAGGTTTACACTGACCACCCTTTGGGCCACTGTACACGGTTCGTTTGCTACCTTGGCCTTAATGCTTTGGTGACCCACAATACATGTCCGAATTTCCCTGAAAGAGACATGTAGCATCCCAAGTAGCATTCGATAAAGGCTTTTATACAACTGATTTACCTTGCCACCGGTAGCTGGCAGGGGTGCCCAGGGGAGTAGCAAAGAACACAGCCACCCTTCTCAACTGTCTTTCTAATAACCACTCTGCTCACTGCCTTTCACTGACCCTACTGCTGCATTTCTGGTCATAGCAGCATCGCTTGAGTCAGTACTCTCTGATGTGAAGCTCATTTCAGCTTTGTTTCAGCCACTGTACCAGCTAAAGATCAGAGGCTTTGATCCAGATTCTTTCCTCCGCATGTCTGGACAAACCTGGCTTTCCCCAGCCGGCTGCTCTCCAAGTGCATTGGCCTATAACTGCTCTCATTCCCAGCCATAAGAAAGGCCGCACAAGCCTCTCTGAAGTGATGAGTTTTTCCAACAGGTTGCATTTACCTTCCTTTCTGCTTCCTCCATCTGCTCTGCTATATCAGCTGGCAAATCCTTTTTATTGGGCACGGGATAGTGGCCAGCTGACTTCGTGGTGGCCTCTGTACTGTAAGCGTGGCTCACAGCTGAGGCTTGGAGTCTTCCCCAAAAGCTCCCTGACACACTGAAGGGCAGAAGCTAGAACACAGGAAAAGGAAAAATAAATGTTAAAACCCCTTCCATTTATCATAATATAGCATATAGTTTATCAGCATCCAACCATTTATGGCCAGAAAACCCCTTAGTGGACCCCTCTACTCTTCAGTGCCACTTCAGGGCCAGAATCCAAACAGGCATCATGGGATTTTCGTACTCACTTTCCTTCAATTGAACAGGAGAGCCTCCTACCAGTCCTGAAACTGCAAGGAATCACAGCGGAGTAGAGTTGCAAAGGGGCAAGAAGGCCACTGGGTCCAACCCTGGCTCAGAGCAGGAGCCCAAGTTAAACCATCCCTCTCAGATGGCTATCCAGGTGCATCATGAATGCTTCCAATGTGAGAGAGCCCACAACCTCCCTGGGTCATTGGTTCCATTGTTGTACTGCTCTAACCATCAGGAAGCTCTTCCTCTGTAACTTGAGCCCATTATTCTGTGTCCTGCACCCTGGGATGATCGAGTGATGCTGTCCTTCCTCTTTGTGACAGCTTTTCCAGTACTTGTAGAGTGCTATCACATCTCCCCTCGGTCTTCTCTTTGCAAGGCTAAACATGCCCTTTCCCTTCATGGAGCTTTGCTTCCAGTCCCTGGATCATCCTTGGTGGGCTCCTCAGAACTTTCTCCAGCTTGTCTGCATCTTCTTAAACTGTGGTGCCCAGAACGAGACACAGTGCTCCAGATGGGGCCTGACCAGTGCTGAGAGAAGGGGAACCAGTACTTACATGATTTGGAAGTGATACTTCTATTAATGCAGCCCAAAATAGTATTTGCCTCTTTTGTAGCCGCATTACACTGTTGACTCATATTCAGCTTGTAATCTACAACAATTCCAAGATCCTTCTCAAAAGCAAAGATAGCCTGCTGGATCTCAGAGTATCGTTACTTAGGACACCCAAACCCAAAACTGTGTGACATACAGAGCACTTTCTATGGTTCTTTGCATCTTGGCCCAGGAACATGGATGTGTTCTCTTCAGTATATGCGCTTGGCTTTCCTGAACCCTTTCAGTTTTTTTAAAGCCATCCTAACCTGGCTCCCATACAGAATTGCTTCCAGTCTTCTAACATAGCAGTCCAGGCACACACAGATGTTTACATTTTAGGAGTCATGTTTGTAGGGGAGAAGAAGCCAAGCAGTTGGATCACTGAAACAAGAAAGCTGTGGATTATCTCAGCCCACTTAAAAAGGCTATGGGGTAGTGATGGGTGAGAGAAGCTAACTCTAGTAGTTAGCTTGCCTGAGCAGTAACATCCCTGTTGCTTCTTTCCATCCATCCATCCATCCGGCTTTTCATAGCTCTTATTTTTCTCTGGGCAGATATAAAGTTTTCTAGATGCTATGCAGGTGTACTCAGGAGAGGCAGGGAAAGTGTTGGATTAACTACCATGATTATATGCCCCAAATCAAACTAAGAACTCCAATATGAATCTAGGGAAGTGGGGAAGAGGCTGAATCTACATATCTTGGCACATATAAGCTAGACAGATGGACTGGGAAAAGGCAATCTGATAAAACAAGGTATTTCCTGTGTAAAGATCCCAGGTTATGTATTTTGCAACAAAACTTATGTTTGTGCAATCAGAAGCAGAGAAGTAAGGCATTTCACCTAGATCAGTAAATGTAAGGTTGCTAGTCCCTTTAGAAGGGAAAGAAATAAGTTGAAATGTAGGCAACAGATACAGGCAAGCATTGGGTAGGCTGCAAAACCAGGCCTCTGTGGCTTAAAGGAAAAGCCTTGGATTGCCCACTAGCTTCCCTCTGCTCAGTGTGAAATAACAGGCATCTAACACTCCTTAGAGGAGTCCACTGCTTATAGGCAATGGATGTAGTTGCCCTAAAACTGGACTGGGGAGATGCTAGATATTTCTGATTCCCTATTTTCTGGGTAGAACTAGATAAAACCTGCTAGCTTCCACAAAGCCTGATGTGCCTGATCCTGTCTAATCTTGGAAGTTAAACAGCATCAGGTCTGGTTGAAATCTGGTAGGGTGAGGTTTGGCTATGGGTGGTATGTTGTTTAGTCACAAAGTTGTGCCTGACCCATCATGACCCCGGGGACAACGTTCCTCCAGGCTCTCCTGTCCTCCACTGTCCCTTGGAGTCCACCCAAGCCTACACCCACCACCCCAGTGGCTCCATCTAGCCACCTCTGCCCTCTCCTCCTCCTTTTGTCATCAGTCATTCCCAGCATGAGGGTCTTCTCCAGTGAATCGGAGATATAGACATGCAATTAATAATAATAAAGCAGCCCCCCGCCCCCAGCATTGGGCTTTTGAAAAAGAACACAACAAGGGAAGTAGCTCTATTTTGGGCATAAGAAAGCACTTCTGGGATTAGTGCCAGCTTGATTCTGGGGCTAATCACACCAAATCCTGGGCCAAACATGCTCAGAGGCACTGTGTTCCTTAATTCTTAACATTCCACCAGCTACCTGAGCCACTATTTAGTACCTGCCTCCAGCTGGTGGACTTCAGGATTTTGATCAAACACCAAGTCAGTCCCTCAAGCCCGATGTCAAAGCACAGATCTGGCTCACACACACCGATCAGACGAGAAGCGACGGAAGGCAACCCGAGGCGCCCCCGATCGGCGCTCTCCAAGTCGCGCACCCTTCGAAGCACCCGAGCCGCCCCGTCCCGCTCCCCGGCCTCCCGGCCAAGCGAACTGGAACCTAATCCAGAGGAATGGCTGTTACCTGGCGGCGGCGCTACTTACGAAGGCGGAGACGCGCCGGCGGAGCTGCACAAGGCTGGCGAGGAGCTGGCGCTTCATGGCGGTGCTCTCTTCGCCCTCCCGGAATGGGACTGGGAAGGGCGGGCGAGGCACCCGCCACCCGCTGCCCCACCACGACACCGCCTCCCAAAGGAGAGCAGCTAATTGGGCAGCGAAAGGGAGAAAGAGCAGCCCATGCACGGCCACGCGAGCGTCGGAAGACGAGTCCTTCCGTGTTCCGTGGGTTTGCTCTCGTGCAAGCGTGCCTTGCAGGGCAACTGCCCCTCTATTATGGCAAGTCTGTGGTGCGGGGAGGGGGGTAATACAGCTTCCCAGCAATCAACAGTCCTTCTCTTTGAGCCTAGGCACACCACCAGCTCCTCAGATGCATAGCACGGATAGTCCTTAGAATAACATCGGAACTAGGTGCCTTAGGCAGATCGTCGGTCCGCTCAACAAATTGCAATCTCCGGTCAGTGGCGGCAACTGTCCGTGAGATGGCAGGCCTTGAATCCGGAACGGTCTGAATGGAAAATATTCTGGGGCTCTGCCGCTGAGCCGCCGCCCTTTTGGTAAGATTGAACACCGCTGCTAAGCCTCTCTCTGAAAGGTTTAGCCAGTGCAACGCAGAAAACACCTTACCAGGGCACTACAACCTGTTGACAAATTGTAAGGCTCCCCCTGTCCGCCCCGAGATCCTCAGGGCATTGTTTTTCTGGAGAGGTCAGTGAGATCAACTAAAATATCTATCGATCTTTACAATAATGCTTCACAAATGCATTTTATATAACTCTTCACAAGAGTCAGGTGAAACTGGCTGTAATAAATGGTACTCACTTTCAAGTACATATAGATAGATATCAAGAAGCTGAGCATCATGTGACTGCTAAGTTTGGTAAATTCAAATTCGAGACAATGAAAAAGAGCAAACAGTTTATGGGTATGTGAGCATTGTCAGGGTATCTTGACAGCAGCTGCAAGAATGCACAAATGGGACAAAATGAAAGTCATTTTGTATATCAGCAGATTTATTGAAAGAGCACCCAGGCACCCTCTGCAGAGAATTCGAACTTAAAACAGCCCTGCCTGGTAGAGGTGAAACCAACTACAAACTTCCAGAACATACACAGAGTGTTTTATAGCTTCTAAGTCACATGTACACAGCAGCAGGGTAGGTGATGGCAAAATAAGGGGAACACAGTCAAAAGAATGTGAGATTTGCAGGGGGGACTACAGGACATTGACATAACAATTTGGGAAGGCTGGGATTATTGTGTTCTAGCTGTGAGTTTGATCCTGCAAATTAGGGTAATTGCAATTCTGCCAGAAAACTAACCGGGCAGCCTTATCAGCTGTTGCTGCTGTTAGCAAAAGAATTGGCAGGGATTAACTTCCCTTCAGCATCACAGGCAAGCTGAGAATGCCAATCTTTTAAAGTAACAACATTATACAGAAGCCTGGCTTGGAATCCTGGTACTTTCTGAGAAAGAGGTTCAGGGATACTATAGGTTTGATTTTATAATACAAAGGCACATATAAGCAACCATTTTTACCAGGATTTATCTGAATTTCTCCAACAGCAGTTAGGCTAATTATTAGTTATTATTAAGACTTTATGCCAAGGCAAAGTCCTTGTAATGAAAGAAGTGTTGAAGTCCAAGATTTATGATAGGGGCCCAACATTTTTGGATTTAAAAATATAGTTTATTTTCACTAATATATTTTGCAGGGATAAAATGTAAACCTGTGACATTCTGAGGCAAAGAACTCAACTTTAAAACAATAATGCTACCAACAACTCACCACAGTTAGTTCTAGGGATTTGTGGAGGACTGTCCCACTGTTTTTGCATTAAGGTTGTGGTGTCAGTAAATCAATGGCCATCGGTTCACCACTCTGTTTGATGTCAGACAAATATCCCTTGAAAGCTATAGCATCTATTGATTTATTATGCTGTCCAAGAATCATGAACAAAATGATTATTTGTCAAGTTCAAAATGAATCATACTAGCTAGGATATGTGAAATAGAAAGGAAGACCTTGGCATTTGTTTGTGCCCATCATGTGTACCAAGGGGAAAAGACTTGCTTTTCAAGAAGAAAGTCCAAACCACAATCCCCAACATTTCCAGCTAGAAGAAACCTAACATTAGGGGTGTGTGTGTGTGTGTCTTAAAGGACCAGAATAGATTCTAGAAAGCTAGGTGGAAAAGAGTCCCTTAGGAGGAGACACATTTTAATTTCATGTGTACTGGAGTCAAGATGTTGAAGTTTTATTTATTTATTTAAGGGTTTGTTGCAAGAATACTCCTTGGAATTGTTACTCAAGAGCATATGTCTCAGTGCATTGGATTTCCTTTCTAGTAAGCATGCATAGGTAGAGTCTCTAGGGTCCCAGGGGAAGAGGACAGAAACCTGAAGCTCTAGGGCGGAAGCATGTTAAAGACATCCCCCAAAGTTTTCTAACACGCTTCTTAAGTGTGGTATGCGAAAGCGGGAGAGCACTCGTGAAAACATTTAAGAACCAGTAATCAAAACATAAAACAGCTCGCCTCCAAATCAAATAATACAATTTGGAATACACACAAATCGATCACTCTCCTAAACTTTCCCACTACTACTGAATTGGAGCCATTCGCATATGAACTACAGTTCCCAGGCTGCAACTGGCTCGTTCGTATTAGTGACGTTAGAGGAAGTCTCACTTGATGATGTTCCCTGCTTTATGGAGCAGCGTGCGCGTTTGCAAGGAAGCCGCTCGAAGTGGGTCTGTCTCCTTTTGAAACAAGAGCGTCTGTAACTACTTTTTTTTAGTCTGAAGGCACTGCTGATTAGATATCCTGTTATTCTGACTGTAAGGGAGGTGAGTAACAAACGCTCAGTCTTTACATTAATTAGCAATAAACACACACAAGCACGGTAAGGAAGCCTCAGTCAACCTCATTCTTAAGGGCTCAATCCTATGCGTGTTTAAACAGAAGAAGTCCTATAAGTCCCAGGTTGCCCCAGCTAACCATGCTGTCTGTGGAATGCTGGGAATTGCGGGTCGTTTTTCTGCCTAAACATGCACAGGATTGCCCCTAAATTAGCGCTGCCCTCCCCTCAAGGAAATACTGGTCTTGTTAATATGGAACCGCGGAAACCATCCCAACTCTTCCAGTCCTGTTATGTAGAATGCAGGACTCACTGGAGAAGGCAGCAGCTGAAGGAGAAGACCAAATATGAGACGTACTGACTCCATATTGTAAGCTCTATTAACAATTTAAGGAGCTCATAATACCAATGCCACCTGAGCACATCCAGAAATGGGAAAGGGGGAAACAGGATCACACCCCCTACAAGGTACATGTGGGGCACTAGTGTAGAGCAGAGACGGTTTGGCATTCTGGGATTATCTGGAGGGATAGGTCCCCTTCTCCTGGAACCCGCCCCCACCATGTCCTGATTGCCCATCATTTGGTTGACTCCTGATTTTCCCCTTCTGAAAGGTTGGAATGCCTCTCCCTAGGCTTTATTATTGGCCACTAGAGAGCCAGTGGGGATAGTGGTTAAGAGTGCAGGAATGGGACTTGAGAAATCTAGGGTCTGGTCCCCACATGGTTGTGAAGCTTAGTGGGTGACTTTGGGCCAGTCACTCACTTTCAGCCTAACCTGCCTCACCAGTTTGTTGTTCTGAGGATGAAATGGAGAGGAGGAGAACCTCAGAAACTGCCTTAAGTTCCTTGCAAGAAGCAGAAAAGTGGAGTGTAATAATAATCATAATAACAGCTTTATTACTATGGATGACGATGATAATGATAAAGCAGCTTCAAGCTGAAACCTGCTGGTGTTTTGGCCCTGCCCTTTTGATTTTGGTCCCATCCACCATGAACATGCTGTTGCTGATCATTCCTCTTCAGGTCAAAAGAGGTGTTATACTCCAGGCGTAAAGGGGCTGTAAATGTACTAGCTTCCTCCATGCAAGATGGAATCCCCCTCTGTGCATGCATCACCCCTTCCTGTGGCTGGCCTGTTTGAGCTCACAGCACCCTTCGTGGTTGTGTGAACATGTAGGAGGTGTCACATGAATCCCCTCTCCCACTTCCCGAATGAATGTCCCTCCTGCATGATTTCCAACAGGATCTGAAAGGGGGTGATTATCCTTTGCATGCATGACAGTAGGTGGCTGCTCAGGCATCTTTACACTTGCATGTCTGTTGCTGAACCCCCAGACTTGATAACTTGTAGCTCCCCCGAACAAGCAGTGCATCTTAGGTGAAATGCAAGCTCCATTTACGGCGTTGACTCTCCCATCTGATGATGTGGACAATGGCCATGAAAGCCAGTGTCCTAACAACTCTGAGAGCCTTTAAGGTGCCGCAAGGCTCTTCATTTCTTTTGCTGCAACCATTTAATAAGCCTACCATTCTGGTAATCTGCCATGGTGTGTTCGCACATGCAAAGCACCCTCTTCACTGTGCAGATGTTCAGGGAATGTGGGTTTGGTGGGGATGCAGGATGATGGCACCTTCTGTCCCCAGAAGGTGTGTTGTAGTCCTTGGTGCGCTTGCACCCAGATGGGCACATCTCATAATGTTCTGAGTGGCTTGAGGCCTTTTACATGTTGGCCCTAAAAAAGACCAGATAGTGGCCCACTGTGATGAATTTGCACAGCACTTTGAGATAGAATTGCTCAGATCTGGCAGTTTGTCAATTCTTAAGACCATGTCCCGCATTATAAGCAATGTTACTCTAATTTATGTTTTATTTGTTTCAATGAGTCTACTCTAAATAGGACTAACATAGGATAGAAACAGAGAGTCAGAAGGGGTCTCCCGAGCCATCTAGTCTGACCCCTGGCTCCAGCTAGCTTCGTTCATGACATGCCCACCATGTGCATGTCCAAGAATGTAACAGGATGTAGCTCTCTAAGATGACTGTAGCAGGCACACAGAGCAGGGTCATAATGTTGGGGTGTTCTCTAACCCAGGGCTCTTTAGGACACTGCAGGCTAGGCACATAAGACCTGCAGGACCAGGATGGAGGCACCAGTTTCTTGGCTCCGTACAAGCCCATGTCTAATATCCAGCACTCTTGTCAGGAGGGCCAATTCTGCCCTATCAGGTTAAAATAAGTGGCTCAGCATTTAGCGCCTTATTTTTTTCTCCTCCCCCAATTTAGCCTGCAAGGGCTTAGAGGAATGATGACCTGCCCTACGAACGAAATGGAGCAAAGCACCTGTGGTGAGCAGCATGATCAACAGCAGGGTCCTGGAGCTGCCTGCCATGAAGATGGAGAAAACCTCTGGGACCCCTTTGGGCTTCTGCAGATTGACACGGGTTGCGCAAGCTCCAGGAGCCAGTTTGCAGGGAACGAGAATGAGAACTGGTGCTCGGTATGTTCACTGCTGACCTTGGTTTTGGGCAATGAGCAGAGACTGCCACGTAGCTGCAGTCTTCCATGTGGACAGCGGTGGCTGGTGGTACAAATGAGGTTTTGACACTCGGCATTGCTAGTTTGGACATTTTTAGCAGTGGAATCGCCTATTCTGCTCCTGAATTTCTGTGCAGCGTGTGGCGGCAATAGTGGGGGTGCATTCCCTGGCCCAGGGGTGAGGGGGGGGGGGGGCGGGCTAGAAGGGCAATGCACCTCCCACCCAGTACTGTAGCGCTTGATGTTTCAGTCTACTACTTGTGCCACCGTCAGTCTCGCCATCCTAGCCATCATCATCTCGATCCTGTCACATGAATGCTGAAGAATGATAGGAAAAATACAAAGCGTCAATAAATAAAAATAAAAATCCTGTTCTAGTACTAGCCTGTCAGGCATCTGTGTGCTTTGCCACGGCAACAGCTCGCTTAGATCAGAGGTTGATGGTGGGTCGGCCCTCTTTCAAGTGGCTGTGCTGCCGAGTCCAGGCCAAGGAGCTTCAGCTGCAAGGACCTGGGGATTGTCCTTTTCACTGTGCCTTTGATTCCCTCCAAAATGCCACCATTTCCTTCACCAATTGGATGCTGCCAGAACAAAATGTTTCAAGGGCTTACATTTTCTAGTTACAGCGCAGGGGCTGGAAATCCCCACCCTCTGCATTCTTTCTATGGATTCCATTGCCATTGGCCCTTAGTTTGGGATCTACAACTCTAAAAACAAATAGCAAATTGTATTAATGTCTAAACCGTTCTATTCAACTCCCTTGCAAGGGTACCAAAAAGGTGCTTGACAGCACGTCACGTGCATGTCTTTACTCAGAGGTAGGGCCTGCTGGATTCAGAGATGCTTTGTCCAAGGAATGTGTGTTGTTTTCTCAAGAAACAGTGATGAGGAGGGGAACAAGACATGAGCATCTGTGCCAGTGTTTCTCCTCTTTCCAGTTTTACTCCTTGCTCAAGCAAAGATCAAGAAAGGATGTTTGATCTTTGCTGGAGCAAGAAAGAAAGCTGAAAAGTCTCTGTCAAAGGCCAGGCAAATTTTAGAGCCATGAGAGTGTCACATTTCACTGTCCTAGTCAGAAGTTTCCCCAGTGCTTCCAACTAACAGTCTGGGCATATCTGTGGGGGGCATTTTGCTCCAGTAATTCTTTTCCCATCGGAAAATGCATCTTATCCACGCAAAAGAGGACGGAGGAAAAGTATGATAATCCAAAGGGTGCATGTTGAATATCTTCTGCACGTTGTAAGCTGCCCTGAGGCTTCGGCGAATGGGGCGGCATAAAAATGTCTTAATAAATAAAATGTCTATTTCAGCCATGAGTTTTGAAGGTGGGATGCAGAATTGTGTACATTCTGAGGATGCCTGGACTTAGTCATCCCCCAGAGGACCTGATCCTGAGTTGATGGATGTTGAATAGCCCCTACCCCATAAGTACTTTAGACATTTCTGTTTCTTTATAATTAGAGAAATGCTTTGAGGAAACAGAGGCACTGGGAGAAGATCATTGCAGCAAAGAAGAACAAAAGGAAATGTGAGAGAGAACGGCGCAAAGCTAAGCATGCTGAAGAGAAGGGTATGGAGATCAATTGGGTATCTGTCCAGCTTCTTAGTTAGCAGGCCAAGGTGCTTGCTACCAGAGACAGAGCAGCAAGTGAAGGTCTTCACCTGGGGGCCCATTGGTTTCTATGGAAACTTGTGAGGTGTTCTTCAGTGAGAAGCTTAGTCATGATGGACAAGCATACCTGAAAGATAGTTGGACCAAAGTCACTGACCTTCTGTGATATACAGATGCAGAAAAGGGTAGGGTGTATTTTTGAGCAGAGGACTCTGGGGTTCCTCAGCCGTGGCTATTGCTCTGTTGAGCTTAGTAAGGAAGATATTGCAGAACCCTCTGCAATTGGCTTGGTTCTTCAGCAGAGCAGCTTCCCTGAAGCTTGGAAGATTGAGGGCCATTGTCCAAAGAGCTTCTTGCCTTATGCATTGGTTTTCCTGTTACTTCTTTAAAAAATGCCCTTCACTTCCATATATAGATAATTTTATACATGGCAACTCAGATGAAGTTAAGTACACTCGGACAGGACAGTTGTCCAAAATGATCACCCGCACAAGCAAAACAGACATTCAGATAAGAGGAACACATTTATAGTTCTTGCATATGCACACACTTATACACAAACATGATACTTTGTATAAGAACTGGGACTGTTGGTGTTAATTTTATTTCATACTGTCCAATAGCTGAAGCTCTCTGGGTACTATACAACAATTAGTAAAATGCAATAAAATACAATATACAATGTGAATAACAGTGAAAATAGAATTTCACTAAAAATTGAAATCCAGTTTTAACAACTTATAAGGCAGATTCACGCAGCTTGGCCTCCTAAAACAGCTGGAAGTACCATCCCTGGTATGATTTGATGCTGTTAAATGCCTCCAGGTAGACAGGCATCAGCCTGCTGCTGTGAAACAGTAGTAAAGTTGGTGTCAGGCAAGCCTCTGTGGGAAGTTCCTTTTATATTTTGGGGGCCACCACAGAGAAGGCCATCCTCCTTCATGCCACCAACTGAGCTTCCCTTGGAGGTCCCAGTTGGAAGAAGTTGTTCATAGGGTTATTATTTGTAGGGTTTTGATAGGTTGTGGTGGGGGAGGCACTCCATGCTGAATTCCACTGTCAGGTTTTAGGGAAAAAAATGGCACCTAGAATGTCCACAGATTTCTTACTGTTTAGTAGCATTGTGTGCTTTTATATTGTGTACAATACTGTATTTTTAATTTCTGTAAATCATCCGGAGAGTTTTTGGCTGTTGGTCGGTTTAGAAATGTAAGAAATGAAATGTAGGTGAGAAATCCTACTGGCTTCATTAGATCAGCCAAACTAGTGCCCTCCAGATAATTTGCCTATGACTCCCATCACCCCAGCTGTCATTAGCCATGGCTGAGGATCATGGGGGCGATTGTCAGACACACCTGGAAGGTGCTAGGTTGAGAAAAGCTGCCGTATATATGCTCTTGTGCCAAAAGATTTTAACTTGTGAGCAGTTTTGACCAAGCAACCTGCCTGTGGGCCTCTTCATACGGTGCATTGAGGGCCAAACCATGTGCCCCCCTGCAATTGAACATTTAATCTGATTTAAGCTGGATGCTCCTTGTTTTCTTCTTGTTCCCTCCTCCACCTCTCATGTCTGTGTTTTAGGTGCTGCTCCCCAGCTCAGTAAGCGGGATTTAAAAATGGTGGTGAAACAGCGCCTCCTGGAGGCGAAGGAAACAGGCCCCTGGTTGTGCATCGATTTGAGTATGACCGGACACATGACGAAAAAGGTAGTGGCACTGGATTCCCAACCCCTGGCTGCCTTCTGGAATGATGGACTGGTTTTTTTTTCCGGATGGGGTATTGTGGGTCTCTCTATAAGAGAGAGAACTTGAGAGAACTTGCTGCACTCATTGCCAGATGGGGCATAACTTAGTTCTGTGGATGAAAGGGGGGGGTGTCTGCCCTCTTCCTCATGTCCAAACAGCAACAAACTCGGCACTTTCAAAACTTGTATGCCAGGCTGGAAGCTTTCCGTAACATGCTAGCTTTGTACATGCAGGAAGATTTCTTTTATTCCCCAGTGGGCGTTCCAGTATTCCTGCCACCCCTGTGCTCTGGTGATCCAGACCGATGAACATTCACATCAGCTCTTGTTCGCACCATATGTCTTGAAGTTCTGTGGCTCAAAGGGCAAGGGAGCTCTGCTCCAAGACATATTTTGACCTTTACAGGGCCACCATCATTGTGACCTCTTTCCAGCTCACCCGAGTACAGACTGGGGCACTGCACAGCTCGGCTGTTTTTCACTTCAGGGACACAGTGACTGGCTGGTTCTTACATGTGTGTGAGGAAGGCCTTGTGCATTTTTCTTCTTGGAATGGATGGGAAAAGGTGTGGAGAGGGCTTTTGATGGTGATGGTGGAGGAGAGATCCTGGCATGCAATTTGAGGATGGTATTGCCAGGTGGCGGAAACTTCTATTGGTAGATCTGTTTTACTGGTCAGGTCTGGCGGGGAGCAGAAACTCACTGAGGCCAAGCACTCTGTGGAGCTCCTCTCTGTCTATTGCTCTGCCATGAGTCCAGAGGAGCTGTGCTGCACTTTGCATTTGGGAGGGTTCCAGAGTGAGCTAGTGGTGGAAAGCCAGTCCTTCTGAGGAGCTCTCTGTTTGTTTTCTTTTTCTTTTCCCTGGGAAGGAAATTGGCCGTCTTGCTGCACAGATAAGGCGACTGTATGGCTCAAACAAGAAAGCTCAGAATCCCTTTTGGATCTACCTCACTGGATTTGTGAAAAACAGCCCAATTTATGATGCATGCCTACGGATGAACGATGGATTTGCTAGCTATCTTGTAAGTAGATCTCCTGAATCCCACCTCAAAAAGTAATATATTGGAGTGAGAAGAACCATTTCTTGCTCAGGTCATTTGTCAATATAAGTGTTCAGATTTGCCCTCTTTGTCCATAGCATTTTATATAGTCAACCTACTAATTAACAGATCATGTAACAGTGGAGCTGGATGCTGTAATACATGGAGTTCTCGGTATCTTAAGCTGCAATTCTGTGCAGTTCCTTACAAGAGAATCAGTCCCACCTGGAATTGATGGGAATTATTTCTGAGCAAACACATATTAGATTTGTGTTCTGTTAAGGGCATAATCAGTATATACTGTTTGTGTTGCACTGATGAAGAAATGTTGACTGTTGAGGAAGACTTTTGGTCTGGGGATTACAGAAAATCCCAATAATGGGAGCTCAGATAGTATGTATGCCACATAGGAAAGGGAGCACCAAGTCCAGGAGGTCACCAGCTTGGTTAAACAGCAGTGTCAAGGAAGCTTGTTGCAGCAAAAAAGAAAATGGAAGTCTTGTCTAAATGAGGAAAACAGAAGGGAGCACAAACTCGCTCAAAGCAAATGCAAGCAGATGATAAAAGGTTTTAAAAATGGAGGCACATATTGATATTGTGAAAAAAATCAAGGCCAACAATAAAGAATTCTGTAAATATATCAGAAGAAGGAGATGAGCTACAGATGCAATGTGGACCACTGGGTGAAAATGGAATTAAAGGAGCATTAAAGGAGGATAAAGGAGATTGCAGAGAAGCTGAATGAATTCTTTTCATCTGTCTTCACAGCTGAGGATACAGGACAGATAGCTCGGTCTGAAGTGATGTTTTCAAGAAGGGAGCCTGAGGAATTAAGGCAGATAGTGATGACAGAAGATGAAATTATTGACCTAATGGACAATCTGAAAGTTGAGGGATACTCTGGGCAGCAGGTTTGCCACTGTGTGAATGGAACGCTGGGCTAGAGGGACCTTTGGTCTGATCCAGCATGATTTCCTTATGTTCTGGAGGTGTTGGGTGTTCTTTATCAAGTAATTTGGTACTTTTGAGTGGCTATGTTGCCCTTGTGTGCAGTCTTCAGCTCCGTAGGCAAAACAGTTGCAAGACTCCAGAGGAACCAGGGTGCCCAATGAGAAAAAGCTGAAGGAGTTGGATGTATTTAGCCTGGAGACGAGGGCATTCACAGGTGCTGCAACAGCCATCTTCAAACATTCAGAGGGCTGCTGAGTGGGGGATGGAGCAAATTTCCTCTCTCTTGCTCCAGAAGATAGGATAGTACCATTTACAAGAAATCGGATTTTAGCTGAAGTTTAAGTAGTATGTCCCAATGGCACGAGATTTTTTCAGTGACACATGTGGTCACAGTTTCTTGTGTCTCTCCTCCATTGGAGGCATTTAAGCAGAGGCTGTGGATGGATACCGAGGAAGGTGCTCTAGAAGTGGTCCCTTTGCAATGGTCTTAGGTTGGGCTAGATACTCTGAGGTCTCTTCTATTTACTAAAGCAAATTCTCCAGCCTGGTGGACTCCAGATGTTTTGCACTGCAGCTCCAACACTCCTGGCCATTGCCCACGCTGGCTGGGGCTGATGGGAATAGAAATCCAAACCATCTAGAGGGCACCAAGTTGGGGAAGGCTGTACTAAAGTGTGAATTAAATGGCACTGGCTCATGCTTTGAATGTGGCTTGGTGCAGCGCTCTGTCTAAAAAGCGATACCCATGGGTTTAAGAAATAAGAGATGTGATAAAAGTAGTATGCTGATTAAGCTCAGTGGAAGAAACTGAAATGATTCGAAAGATGCCCTTGCAAGCTCAGTCACCAGTCTTTCCAGTCCAGCATCACATTTCCACCAGTGGTGAGCTAGATGATACTGGCTTGCAGGTTGTGGAAACAGGAGCTTAACAGCTCCTGACAGATATTTCCTTTATGTATTTCCTCTTTTTTTAAAAATAGAATGACCCACACGTTCTGCCCAGATGTTCGATTCTCTTCCATGACCTTCAGTGCACTCTTAGTTCCACCAGTTCCATTCACCGTGAACAAGCTCGCCATGTGGTACCAGCTGCCATGAGTGGTGATCTAATGTAGCCCTCGCAGAGCAGCCAAGTGTAAACCTATCTTAACTGTGAGTCTCAAAGGCAGAGTTTGTGGTGGAGGCATCGGTGAGAAACTCTCATTTCACTCAAGGTCCCAGGGGTGGAGAAGGAAAAAGAAAACTCCACTGGATTTTGAGATCCTGAAATGGCTCCACCTTCTCCATCGCATATGTTTTAAACTGAGAATAAATGCTAACTTGAGGGACATACAGTGTTGCATGAATGAACTTCTGCTCATGCAATACTTCCTCCCACAATACTCCCCAAATTTACTCTGGAAGGTTCTCCCAATCCTCTGGAGCAGACTTTGGGTGTGGAGTGCCGAGGGCTGCAGAGGTGGGAGGCATTTTGTTCTGCTGAGAGTGCCTGCTAGATTCAGCCCTTTTCTCAGGATATGTGTTTGCTTGTTTGATTAGGAAACTATTATTTAGCAGGCCTCGGGAAAGTAAATACTCTTGCCTAGGAAGTGCCCTTCAGCCGTAAAATGTGTGCCAACCCCTGAGTAAAATGGCAGTAGATTAGTACCTCTAATGCACCTCTTTTCTGGGCTGAGCAAACCTGCTTAAAGTCCCTTGCCAAAGGACTTCTAAAACTCTGATTAAGATGGGTCATATTATTTTTCAGATGGATGTTACTCCAGAAAGCTATCTTGACCTGTTTCCTTTAAAAACAATTGTTTACCTCACTCCAGACTCAGAGAATGGTATGTTGTAACTTCGTTTCTATAGTGTCTATTAAAGTGTTTACTTCTTTTAAATGAATAATAATTTTCATAGGAAATTTAGAGCAGAGGTGAGCAAAGACCAGATCTCCAGATGGTTTTAATCTCCAATTTCTGCATTCTTTTGGAAGTTGAAGTCCAACATTTCTTGACATTTGCCTTCTGCCCACTTCTGATTGATTAGAACATAGATTTTTGAAGTATGCTTCAAATTATCTTGTCCAAAATTGTCTCAAATATAGTTCTTGCTTACTTTGTGTTCTGCTCTTAACTATTTGGATACATCTTTCTGGCTTTAGCATCACTGTGCTATTTCCTTGAACCACTGACATAGTACCATGTTTCATGATACTATGCTAGACAAGTCACCCATGAATCCATCTTAGACAGTGAGTCTTTAGATGCACTCTTTACAAGAGAAAAAAGATGTAAAGAAAAAAGGCTAGGGGCATTCTCAGTGTAACAAGCCTCGGTATTTTCTGGTGCGTTTCTCCCCACCTTATATATGCGAGAGGAACACTCTTAGTGAAAGCTTTGATTGTTGGTTTCTAGATCACATACTTGCTTACTTGCATCCATCAACTTCGTGTGTTTGCAGCTGACAATTTTTGTCTTTACATGTCACTGTTGCCTTTTTGATATTTGGATCTGTGTAACTGACTGATCAGTTTTACTATTCCTTGCATTCTAGCTCTTGAGGAGGTCGATCCTCAAAAAGTGCATATCCTTGGAGGACTGGTAGATGAAAGCATCCAAAAGGTAAGTGTGCATTGTACATATTGTAACGGTGCTTTTACATTCTGGATATCATCAGCCTTAACATTGGTCAGGCTGGCTTATACCTGTGCTCCAGTATTCTGTTTTCCTACTGTGGCCTGTATTGGATGCTTCAGAAAGGTGAAGCTATATTTTTAAGTAAGGCTTAAAGTGGAGAGAAGTAAATGAGACTTGCGCCTTTAATAGCTACTCAGAAGAGAATATTTCTGCAGATGTAGCCTTCCTTTCTACAGCTCTTTATTCAGCTTCTTGCTAGTGTGAAACAGCATTAAAGGATCTTCATGTGCATAATAGGGTGACCAGATGGAACTATATTTTTTGCAGCTGCATAGAATTGGGAGCTTAGGCAGATGCAGCTTTTCTTACCTTCAGAAGCTGCCTTTACCAGCATTTCATATGTTACACAATGATAAAAGCAGTCTTTGCCACATCCAGATGTATTGGGAGTTTTAGCTCACAATCCCCAGTTTGGGAGGATGGTGGGAATTGTGATCCAACACCTTTGGGAGGCATGCGGTTGGAGTACGTTGAGTGAAAGGTGCAGGAGCCCTTTTCCCACACCCCTACTCACCTGGGATTTTCCTCTTGGCATTGATGAACCATAATAGTGAAATAGAACCTCCATGGCTTGGCTTTTGTAGGTTGTGTACAAACCAGACAAGCACCTCTTGGCCACTGCTAGAGACTGTATGCTGGGTGAAACAAACCCTTGCAGTGTTCCAGAAGGGTGCATCGCTTGTTTGGTCCTCCTTTGCATCTGATTGTCCTAGTAGCAGGTTAAATGGTGTCCTTCTGGAGGATGCACTTGTTCAAAGTCACCATCAGGACTTTGTTATAACCTCTGGCAAGAATCCAGAAGTTTTAGAAGGCAGTCAAGTTAGGTGCATGAGTGGCAGTGCTGAGAGCTGGAAATAAGGTCAGTAGTGTGATTGTTGTAGCTTTTTAGTCTGATAGCTGCTACAGTCACTGGGAGGCTTCGCACTGCCTAGGTGTTCCTTCTTGGAACTGGCCCGAGTGTTCATTTTTATGCTTTTTCCTCTTTGCAATATATCATTTGCACTTGCAGAGGCTCACCTTTCAAATTGCCCGGGAGAAACAGGTGCAGACAGCCCGGCTGCCAATCCAAGAATACATGGTAAAGAACGTCAATGCAAAAAACTATCACTCGACGACTCTAGCGATCAACCAAGGTGAGGCTCTTATACCGCCTGATGGATGCTCATTGAAATGTGCCTTGCAGAGTTGACCACCTTCAACTCTGCACCTCAGCTTAGAGCTGCTGTTTCACTCAAGAGGGTATCAGGGAAAAGCCCTGCAAGTGGCACACGCTGAGCACTGTCCCGTTTGAACTGCACAACCATCATGAAATGGTATGGTCAGAGTCCCAACAGCGAACTTCAAGGCCTCTTAACACAGCGATGTTATGTGGAAAGGTTGGGCACGTTCACCTAGGAGCTCGCATGAAGAGTTGTGCTATTGGGGCAGAAACAATCCATTGACAGAACTCTTCTCTGGTGCACTTTATTGTCTTGGATTATTCCTCAAAGTGCCATGGGGGCCTGTGGTAAACAAAGGGCATAGTTCAGCCCAAGTTAAGCTCCCATTGTCTCTTCTAGGACCGAGGTAAGCATGTTCCTGATGCTACTGTTGACATCAGTGGGTCATGCAAACTTTGACTGGATCTTGCCGAAGCGTCCCTCCCACAGCAAGGTTACTTTTAAAAATTAAGCTGCTGTGACCATTTTGCACAGCTCGTTTGTGCGCATCATTGTTTTGGATTGCGAGCACTGTTCCGGGGGACTAGAGCATCACACTCCTGCCTTCACAGGATCGTTGCTTCTCTTTAGCCTTGCATAACCTGCAGATCTATGACTGAAGTGGTGGAGCTGTCCTGTGAGATATAGGAAATAGGTAGTGGTCGTTCATCTTTGAAATGTGTTGTTTTGGGATAATAGGGAAACCTAGAGCAGCCTTCCTCAACTTGGTACTCCCCAAATGTGTTGATTTACTACCATGCATGTTTATTGCCCACGTTGACAGGGGCTGAGGGGAACTGAAGACCAAAACTGCTGGAAGACACCAAGTTAGCCTGGACTATAAATGGGTTCCTGAAAGGATCTGTCCACTTCATGGCAAATTGCTTAGAAATAACTTCTTAGCACATCTTCTTTTAATAGTCTAATCTGTTCAGAACTGCAATGGGTTCCATATAAACCATGATTATATCTCATCTTTCTTCCAATTTCCAGTAATCTTTGAAATCAAATATGTTTCTCTTAGTGTTTGATGCCTTATTAACTTTCTACGAGACCAAGAGCTGGGAAGAAGCCCTTAAAGCTGCAGTTTCTCCTGGAAAGGGCTATGTTCTTCGCGGGACAACTTCATGACAAAAGCAGCCTGCTTCCAAGTGTGGAAGATGGTCCTAGTGACCAAGGATGGTTTAATGTCTGTCTGCCATAATTTTGAACGACTGAACTGCTCTGTTTTTGTTTGTCATACTTGGAAAAGACTAGGACCAATCAGTTTCTTGCTCGTGGTGAATCCATGTTGGGAGGAGTAAAAATATACGCTGACTTCTTTTGCATGCACTGTATGCCACCAACAGCAAGATAGGCAGGTTGCTTACCTGTGTCATTCTTTGAGTGGTCTTCTGTGCATTCACACATCTGGGCATTGCCACACAGCGCAAGGCCTGGACTGGAAAGAGAATTCTGTAGCTAAATGTCATGGATTGGGTGGGAGCCCCTGCCCCTTCCAGAGCCTTGGATAAGAAGGGGGCCTCCCGCCTGCTTCTCCAGTTGTCTTGGAGACTGCAGCCTCTCTGAGTGACCAAACAGGGTGTGAGGCCAGCCCCTGCCCCTGCCCACAGATGAGCCCATGTGGTAGGGAGAGAGGATGTGGCGATCTGACAACAGCCAGTGGGGCGGAGGGTGGGTTGTGTGAATGCACTGAAACAACAGTTACATGTAAGTGACCTGCCTTTCTTCTTTGTGGTCTGTGGGTCAACACATTTGGGCAACTAGCAAGCTCATCCTTCGAGGATGGAGGGGCTGTCGTCATTGCAGGACAGCTAAGAAGATTGCCCTGCCAAAGGCATAGTCCTGCATTGGTATGTCGAACCTGTAGTGCCGGATGAAGGTCGATGGTGTGGACCATGTGGCAGCCTTGCAGATATCGTGGAGAGGGATTCCAGCCAGGGAAGTGGCAGGTGTAGCCTGCGCTCTCATGGGGTATGTGTGGGGGCGTGTGGGAAGGTCGAGCCCTGTCATCTCGCAGGCTAGGGAGATGGTACTGGATATCCACTTGGAGAGTCTCTGGGGCAAGACAGTGTCCCCCTTGTTCTGGCTGTTGTAGCGGATGAAAAGACGACTTGTGTGGCAGAGCTGTTGTGTGCATGACATGTAGAAGGCAAGGGCTCTGCAAACGTCCAGGCAGAGGAGCAATGGCTGTAGCGGGGTGGATGGGCCTGGGAAGAAGGCTGCGAGGATGATGTCTTGGTTCATGTGGAAGGTGGAGGTGACCTTGGGCCAGAACTGCAGGTCTGTGTGGAGAACGACCTTGTCCTTGGGGACGGTGAGGCGAGGGGCGTTGACCCTAACTGCAGCAACCACCTTGGTAATCGGGCGGGAGGAGGACATAGAAAAGGATCCCATCCCAACTCAGGAGACAAGCAAGGTATACTACCGATAGCGTGGTGGCCATGAAGCCCAGGAGTCCCTGTATCGTGTGAGCAGTGGAACAGGCCGCAGTCCTGACGACTGTGGCAAGGGAGGTGAGAGTCAATCCATGGTTGTGGGAGGAGCACTTTCGCAGGTAGGGAATCCAGGTGAACCCTTCTGAAGAGGATGAACTGGGTAAGGGAGAGAATAGACTTGTCAAGGTTAATGCAACGGCCCAAGGTCTGCAGGAGTGAGCAAGGTTCTCTTTGAATGGGGCTGTGAAGAGCCAGTCATCCAGCTGTAGGTGGGCACAGGCCACCGCCGTGCACTTGGTGAAGATGCATGGCATGGTGGCTAGGCCAAGGGTGAGGACAGAGAACTGAAAGGTTTCCTGCCCCATGCAGAGTCTGAGGAAGGGCCTGTAGGCATGGTTAACAGAGATGTGGAAATGGGTATCTTTGAGGTCAGTGCAGGCAAACCAGCCTCCCTGCCTGAGCGGCGGGGGGGGGGGGGGGCTTGCAGAGTGGTCATCCTGAACCTCTTGGGGAGCTGGGGGTGGGACTGCCTGGACTTGACCCTCAGTGTCGGGCGCCTGTTGTCCTGATGCTAAGGGGGGAATTTTTGCTTGGTCTGGAAATCCTGCCTCTTAGGGAGAGCAGGTGCCTTGGCCTTGAAAGAGTGATCAGAGAAGAAGGGATGGCAGCTGGTGCCAAGATGGGCCCCTTGGCACTTATGCAGTTGAGGGTGCAGGGTGAACCTGGTATGCTTGGCGGTGGTTCTGGCCTTGCGAACAGTGTCCATGCTCTCATCAGTTCTGGTATTGAAGAGTCCCTCCCCACCAAGTGGCATATCCTCAAAGCAGGCGCAGGACTCCTGAGGAGAGCTGCGGAGTGGAACCAGGCATGGTGATGGTAGCAGTGGCCCCTGCTAGTGCCTGCCCTTTGGAGTCCATGTGGTCCTGTGCCGCCTCTAGTTGGTATCTGGAGAGTTTCTCTGCCTCCACCTGAAGCAAACAAGCTGCATCACATTGCTTGCTGGGAGGTGCTGCGCCAAGGACCTAGTCTTGTCCCAGAGAAACATCTGGTCTCTGGCCACGGCCACCTCGTGCTTGGACAAGTGAAGGCCCAGTGAGGCTGCAGAGTAGGCTATTCAGGCCAAGCTATCCAGGTGTCGCCCCTCCCTGCTGGTGCAGAGAGCTCCTGATGGGAGGTCCCCTGCATCAGCTCATGTATAGTAAGAGTTGGGCTTGGGGTGCTGAGTCAGAAAAAGGGAGCAAGTGGTGCAAGGCCTGGTATGTAGATTCAGTGGAACACAAGCTGGCAAGGCCCGTTGCAGGAGATTTCCAAGCTTGCTTGGAAACAGAAGGAAACGGAATGGGGGCAGGAACAGAGTGGTTTGCGATCAGGGCCCCGAAAAAGGAAGTCTGCTGTGGGCTCCGCAGGCTGGGAAACCTAAAGGCCGAGGTCGTCGGCCATGTGCAGGTCTAGAGGCATGAAACATCTCCTTTCCCTCACGTTCAAGTCCAGCTCTTGCTCCTGGGCCTGGGTTATGGGAGAGCATGGCCAGGGAGCAGGTAAGAGACAGCAGGCAGAGTCAGGGGAGCAAATGTGACCTGAATCCGAGGTGGAGGATCTACAGCAGCTGGATGGCGATGCCTCCCTTCTTGGGATCGGCGAGTAGAGCAACGCCAGCTGGATGGAGCTGTGGGAGCACTGGGTATGCTGGTGGGCCCCATGGTCGTGCAGGATAGGTCTGGAGTGGGTTGGCTTGGGGGGTCACCGATAGAGGTGCCTGAAACCTGCATGGTCTCCAGAGTGGTAGACTGGGATGGCACTGGGGTCTCCTGGAATGGTAGACCAGGTCTCCACGATATGCCCCTAGCTGAGGCAGAGGAGGCATAAAGAAGATTATACTTTGTTTCCACTGAGGGGGCACAACACCTGTTTTGTCTATTTCTGAGAAGAGCCTAGTCAGAATTGGTGCCCACCAGGAATTGTTCAGCTTGTACACCTCTGGGGGAATCATATGCTCACCAGGAGCTTTTCCAGGGGCCAGAGTAGATATTAGCTGCTTGCACTCAGATTTTGAGACACCTGGCCACTCTGGTAGCATGCTTAATTCAGTGGAGGCTATTGCTGTTGATTTGGTGTTTGGGCAGCTATAAACGGAGGAGAAATGTTGGGTCCAGCTTGTGTTGAGATGCATGCATAGGCATGGTATGGTGTATGGGAATGCCTTTAGCCACCAGTTCCCAAAATTTCTTCCCATTTTTTTTTGAGTTAGTCTAAGGACAAGTTTCCTCCATTGATCCCTATAATACAATAGCTTCTTCATCTTTAATCATTTCTTATACTGGGATTGAAATTGGATCAATAGCTGGATCAGGAAATCTGTCCTTCCCTCTCTAACTCTCCTCTGTAGCTTTCTTAGATCTTGTCTTTTGTTCCTGTGGTCTTGGTCGTACCATCCCTTTCCTATATTATTCCTTCTGGGGAGATAGGTGGTAGTAAGCTAGGAGGTTAGCACACTGTTAATCGATCTAAAATGTAATATATGTTGGAGTTTGGATGTAATGCAGACTGCCTTTGATCCATCATCTGTGGGGTGTTCAGAAAGGTAGTAATTTTCTCGCTGAGATCAGGGTACCATCTAGGGCAGGGGTGGGCAATTAATTTTCCTATGGGGCCACATGAGAATCTTTGACAGTTGTTAAGGGCCGGACCAATACACTTACAGCTCTGCTCAATATATATCTATAAAAACAGTAAATGAAACATTACAATGATACAATGAAAATGTGGAGCACAGAACAACACTAATGAATATTCACAAAAACATTAACATTACATGAAAAACAATAAATTCAATTCAATTTTACTTATATAGCGCAAATTTACAACATATGTAATCTCCCAGTGCTTAACATAGTAAGGTACAGACCTTACGAATTAGAACAGAGAAACGGAAAACTCAACAATCCAAGTTGCCTTTGGATTCCCTATAAATGGATCCAGCTTTGTTTGTTTGCATTACCTCAGTTCTTTTGTTGTTGTTGTTCAGTGAGAGAAATCTAGTCTGTTTTGGGCTTCAACAAGTGCACTGAAGTCAGGTTGAATATCTATGGTGGATATGCGAAGAACAGCACTCAAGATCAAGATCAAGACAACTTTCTCTCTGTGAAAATTTACGTATGGAGGATTTACACGGAGAGCGCAGAGCTCACTAGCCCTTCGAGCTGATGTAACTGCTATAAGGAACGCCGTCTTCCAGGAAACAAGGCGTAAATCAATTGTTGCTAAGGGTTCGAAGGGAGCTCTTGTAAGCGCTTGTAAGACCATGGAAAGACTCCAGGTAGGCATCACTGGTCTAACTGTCGGGTTAAGGTTATGAAGTCCCTTAAGAAATCTCTTTACAATTGGTTGAGAAAAAATGGGTGAACCTTCAACTGTGCCACAGTAATAGGAGATTGCTGCCGTGTACACTTTAATGGAAGACGATTTCAGTACGGACTGGTGCAGTTCTAATAGAAACTGAAGGATTTGATATATGGATGCAGCACGTGGAGAAAACGAATGAGACTCGGCAAAGGCAGAAAATGGTCATTTAGCCGCGTATGACTTCCGCATAGATGGCTTCAATGCAGAATCAAGAATGTGCTTGATATCCGGATGAAAAGTTGTTGGATCCGATGACGTGTGGAAAATGAACGAATTCGAAGCGCGAAACAATGCATCGGATCCGGAGGCAGGATCCGAGTTGCTTATAGATGCTGTCAGTACAGATGCCGTATTAAGAGTTATCGGATTCTCCAGGCTGTTAATTTCAGCGACATTAAATCTGGATGGTGAAGTGTGCCCTCTCGTTGGGTTATGAGGTATGGAAGGAGTGGAAGATGGAGATATTCTCCATGAGAGATGTGGACAAGCATAGAAAACTAGGCTTGGCGTG